GCCACCACTTCCACCTCCGCCACCTCCACCACCGCCACCACTCCCACCACCACCACCTCCGCCACCTCCACCACCGCCACCACTCCCACCTCCACCACCTCCGCCACCACCGCTTTTGCCATCGCCACCTCCACCACCGCTGCCATCTTCACCGCCTCCACCACTGCCGCCTCCACCCCCTTCACCGCCGCCTCCACCGCCGCCTCCCCCACCGCCCCCCCCATCACTACCGTCTCCACCGCCATCGCCATTTCCCTCGCCTCCTTCGCTACTACCTCCCCCACCCCCACCCCCATCACCGCCACTTCTGCCTCTGCCCCCTCCTCCAATTCCCCCGCCTCTCCCACCGCTACTTCCACCGCCGCTAACCCCATCGCCGCCGCAGCCACTCCCGCCACCCCCGCGCTTTCCTTCACCGCTACCCCCTTCCCCTCCTCCTCCATCCCCTCCTCCTCCATCCCCTCCTCCTCCATCCCCTCCTCCCCCATCCCCTCCTCCTCCATCCCCTCCTCCTCCATCCCCTCCTCCTCCATCCCCTCCTCCTCCATCCCCTCCTCCCCCATCCCCTCCTCCCCCATCCCCTTCTCCTCCGTCCCCTTCTCCACCATCCCCTTCTCCTCCATCCCCTTCTCCTCCGTCCCCTTCTCCACCATCCCCTTCTCCTCCCAATCCCAGTCCACCCCCGCCGCCACCAGATCCACCATCGCCGGACCCGCCATCGCCATCGCCGCCGCCACCGAAACCCCCTAGCCCTCTGCCGCCGTCGCCGCTGCCTCCATCCCCGTGGCCTCCCAGCCCGTTCCCTCCCAGGCCCCCCCCGCCGCCGCCACTGCCTGAGACGCAGCTGTTTGTCACGTTCAATAGCCCGGGTGATGACCGCATCAGCTGCGACAGTGTGAAGACCTCCCTGCTTTCCGTCATGCCGGCTTCGATTACCTCGGGAGTGCTGGTGAACTGCTCTAGCGGGTATAGCGCAGGTCTGCCGCGTTTCACATCCACGGTGGCGTTGGAGAGCGGACTGCTGGCAAATGCGACTTGGCACATCGTCACTGAGCACATTGGAGAGATTGTGGTTGCGTCCGGTATGGGCTGTGGCGGCACCGTTATTGTGACGTGGTGGTCTTCCGATGCCGAGGTGTTTGCGTGTCCCAAGCAGCCCGGTTGGGTCCACACAGCTGAGCTGTGCTGCCCGCCGCCACCGCCGAGCCCTGGGCCGCCGGAACTGCCGCCGAGTCCTGAGCCACCGTCACCGCCATCCCCGTCGCCGCCACCGCCACCGAAACCCCCTAGCCCTGCACCCCCGTCGCCGCGGCCACCAAGGCCCTTACCGCCGCGCCCGCCGCCGCCGCTGCCTAGCCCGAACCCACCGTCACCGCCACCTTTCCCCCTCCCTCCAAGATTTCCTCCGCCATCTCCACGACCAGCTAGCCCTTTGCTGCCCGAGCCTATGTCTTCCAGTGCGGGGCCTCCATCTCCAGCCCCTTCGCCCTCATCACCTCAGTCCCCGATTCCAAGACCTTCTCACCCACCTCCCAGTCCAGAGCCAAGCCCCCAGGCCCCCAGCCCAAAACCATTTCCATGGCCTTCAAGCCCGGCACCAAGTCCGGAGCCACCGCTCCCGGATACGCCGTCACCATTAGCAGAGGCAAAAAAGCCCCCACAACTACTGGCCATGCCGCCAGCACCCATGGAACCGTACACGCCACCGCCTAGGGGTGTCGACGCAAACGACACCCAGCCACCGCTGCCTCCACAAGCGACGCCGAACAACCAGTTGGCTGCATTGCCAGGTGCGCTCCCTGGAGGGCTTCAGAGGAGGACGCAACGGGGACCAAGCGAGCCTCCGGAATGCACTGCTGCTGTTTGCCTTCTGTGCGATCAGAATGGACGTGTTTCATTCTGTTTGCGGGCTTTAAAGAGACCCCAATCGGTGCTAGCGAACGAGCCCGGCGCAGCCGTAGCCATCGGAGGAGGGGGACTCATGCATTGAGCAAAGCTAGGGCGCGTTAAGACTCCTGTTTCTGCAACCTAGGGCTACCCGCCTGGCACCTTCAACCGGCAGTGCCTCACAACCTCATGTGCCCTCGTGTGCCCGGGCCCCTCTCCACACTCCCCATCGCAGGCGGGTCGAGTGGCACCTCCCCGGGCCCCATTGTGGCGGCTGCCGTGGTGCCGACTTTGGCGCTCGTGGCGGTGGCTGCCGGTTTGTACTACTACAACAAGAGGTGAGGGCCATGCGGCGGGCAGTGAGCATAGCGGGATGTGGCTACGGGTAACCTTCTGTCTGTCGCGGTTTAGGGGGCCGACGGGCCGCCAGCAGCTCCTATCCGGGGACGTGGAACCGGCAACGGTGTGCGGCTACTCGTGCTGTAAGGCCCATGTAATAGCCCCAAAGCTATAACCCACTACACATGCTATGCATAGCCCCCATGCGACCATGAGCATCATCTGTTCAAAATATAATGGATCAGAAGTTGCTTGGTCAGGTAATTAAAAGACAATTTTCTCTTACGGTTGATATCGCCACCATAACATTTTGCTAGAATATCTTTCCAGGCATTACCTCGTAATTTTATTCTTCAAGAGCAAGCGAGTACTGCTTACGGATATTTAGTTGATGCCCGCGTGTGTAGCCGTCTGCTGGGGGCAGGTCGAGGTGTCCTCAGCCACCCCTTGCGAACAAATCCCTGCGGGTTTGTTCCTTACTTGTACATACGCCTGCCTGGGCCTAAGTTGGACGCTCTCTATTGAACCACCGACCCACCTACGGCGGCATGTGTGTATGTGTCTGTGTGTCTTTCATAGGCGCCACGTGAACCAAGCGCTGGACAACCTCATGGGCGGCGGGGAGGCCTAGTGGCCATGCAGTGGCGGGTCACTGCACAGCACGAGCTTGCTTGCAAGGCGGCATAGTTGTTGCTGGAGACGCGATTGGGGTGTGTTTGGACATGCCGCACAAGACATGTCCAAGGCCAAGGATGTACGGCTGTGAGAATTGCCGTATGTTGTCATCGGGGTCCTTCCTCTCCGCAGCACTAAGTCAACCCCCCTCCCTGGCCTCCAGTCTTTGACGCATCAGCATTGCAGCACACTCCCCTCATGTACGGCAGTGCCATGCATGTGCTTAAGCTTGTTTCGTGGATGTTCGGTGGTGTTGTCAATGTGTCTGGCACTGCACAGTTGGTGTAGTCATGGTCCTGCTGTTGCTTTCTGCATGCACGAGACTGCAGCTCTGAGGCCAGTCCTCTGAACGCTTTGGCCTGTTTAGTCGTTTGCCCTTTGCAGCGGACATATGACGGCAGGTGGGCGGGGTTGGGTGTCCCGATTTCAACGAACGTCGCGCGGTTCTGCCTGTAAAAGGCGATGCACACATGTGAGGGTATGCTTGCGTGCGGCTATGTGTGCATAGTGTGCTTGTGTGCGCGCGTCTGTGCTTGCAGGTGGGTCCCTGTCCGCAATTACCGTGTCCCGCTTCGCTGACAGCGGACGGGGGACCCTGTGTGTGCACGTGATGTAATGTGATGTGGTTGTGGTGCAGCAGTGGTGTTGGGTGCGGTGCCGTGTGCCGTGTGCCCAGTCCAGCAGCGGGCTCCTAATGCACTGGCACTAGGAGGTGCAAGCCATGTAGGTGGAGACACCCGGGAATAAGGTGACCGCGGTGCAGGACTAGAAGCGGCCTGCGCTCATATATGTATGTGTGCATGCGCTCATATTTGCCGATCAGAATCGGGAAGGCGGTATCGAGCTCGCAACGCGTTCGCTTCGTGTTGTGCCCGTGTACGCCTCTCGTGCAATTCCATCATTCCTTGGAATTGTTTCATAGGGTTATGATTTGTTGCCTGGGTTGAGGGGCCCTAGAGAGCTACCGGGATGCATACTGCGGTCGAGGGCCTGTGGCTTCGATTGTGGTTTTCCGTCGTCCAAGTATATTGGCGAGCGTGCGACTAACCGTGCGAATGGTGATTGGTTGATGACTGAATACTAGGAAGTTACGGAGTGCTACGTAACCTCTTCCACACATATCCCGGCCTGACTTCACTCGTTGTTATGGACTTGGTTGGTTATGGACTTGTGTATAAGGTTTTGTTGAGGTTGCTTTGGCAGCAGGCTGGACGGGAGGAGTGCTGTTGCAAGAGAGTGAGAGCGAGGGAGAGTTGACCGAGTTGACAGTTGGAAGTATGAGGCGTGTGGCTTCGTACATCTACCCGACTCCAAAGCGAGCAAGAGGCCACAGAGCAAGCGAGCAAATGGATGGCTGGTGATCCTGCGAACTGCGGACAGTCCTGCTGGAGCGGATTCGACGTTTCAGCCGCAGTTGCAAAGCAGCATCGGTCGCTGCGGCTGCGACAATAAATTGTTCCCTCTCACTCTTCTGTAGTTGCACAGGACTTCGAATCGCATGTATTTTCCGGCCACGTGCCCTACAGCACCATACACGTTCTGGCTGCTGCTGCTACTGCTGCTGTTGCATGCACGGACGTCCCAGTCCAGATTTCATTTTCGCGCGCTGGAGAGGAGGGTAGTCGCGCGGCGCCATGTAGTATTGTGGTAACATTCTTCAGGAGGATCATTGCTGGTGCTGTGGAACCGTTGCAAAGGCCCAACTTGAGTGTCGCGGCTGCCTCAAATAAACGGATGGATGCATAACTGAGTTTCGGTGAATCTGCAGGTGTATGCGGGGTGGGCCCGGGAGGGAACAGCTTGAGGTGCCACCTCCGCCTCCTCCGTTAGGCTTAAGTAGGTATGCAGGTGGAGATTGGAGTGATAAGAGTAAGGCCGATAGGCTGATATGTAGCAGGTGCGCGTTCTGTTGGGTTAGTGGCCTTTCTGCATCAACGGATGCCTCCGTGGTCAGTCAGTCGCGCGGGACGTATGTGTTTGTGTGTGTTTGCAGGCTAGGTTGGGCAGGCAGCGGGGCAGACGTGTCGTGCGGCAGGGTGTTAGTGGTGGGGCGGCAAAATAGGACTTATTTCTCCATTTGCACTGGAATTTGTACATGGGATGCAGTTGACGCATGTCGCTGCATGTAGCTCCCTTTTGGAACTGTATGTCACTGTTTTACTCGACTAAAGCTATGACGCTCCGTACGGCAGACCGGTAACAGTGCTACTCCTCATAACCCGATAAGCCACCAGCAAAATGAACTAGTGTAGGCGGCCAAAGCCACTCTTAACCATGGTCCCGCTTTAACAGACAGATATAGATGTCAAGCTAAGCATTCACCACCACATTCTGCCCCTTCAGTAACTGCCGTTGACAGTCGCACACGACAGCTTAAACCTTTCACCCATTGCGAAAGAGCGGAAAAGCAGCGTACGTACCACCCTACATACGGGATTGGATACAGGTCCAAGGAGGGGCGCAGGGGACCTCTAGGTGTAGTGCCGTTAATAAGTGTTTATTCGTGTTCTCGGGGCTACTACTAACGGAATAGGATAAGTAACGAGGGTATGCGACCTGAAACGGCCGCAAACAAACATGCCCTGCTCTGTACGGCGCCGCCCTGTACGGCACACCTTTTCGTGTAGCTGTCATAAATGTAGCCCTTGAATCCCTTGTTGCCTGATCAAGCTCGCCAGCTGCGGCCCCTGCTTTTGCCGCTGCTCCCCGCTCGCATTGTGACTTATGTTTGGAGTTCCTGTCCATGACCCCCCCGGTCCTTACGGACGGCCCCCGCATTCGTGCGGAACTTGTAACTTGTGTTTATAATAAGGGTGCGGCTGGAGGGGGTGGCTTTAAAGTTGCGCACCTAGGTCGATTACAGATGGGAGGTAGCTCCTCCTGCTACATATGTCTAAATGCTACTTGCCGATGTTGGTGCAACTATTTGCGTTGTACGTCCACGTGTGATTGCCATCGTTTGTACAGACTTCCGTACATCCTCAGCAGGGCCCCTAATCTTCAGGCGCTACATTCGCTGTGAGGAAGGTGACAGTGTTTCAGCCTAGCCCCTCCTTGGCATCGGGACTCCGCTTGACGGGTGATTACGATGTGAGGAGTAGGAAGGAGGCGAAGCATTAGGTATAGAGGAACAGGACTGGGAAAGGTGACGGTTCCCGTCTTTCAGCCTTGCACGCCGGAGGGTTGAAGTCGCAAATACACCCCACGGCACGGCACGTCTCAGTTCCGTCATACCAGACAGCCGTTTGCGGGAATATGGTCCCAATCGTTAGTCCAAGTGTTGGGAAATAAGGAACGTGTGACACCCATGGTCCTGCGTTTCTAGTCCAATTGATAGTACAAACACCTTCCATAACTTTACCGCAAACAGTTCCAAGAACATGGCATTCCCGTCTTGTGCTGCTGCTGCTGCTTGTCGCATTACACGCTTGTTAATGGGCCTGAGCCCGGAATTGGCCCCCAGAGGCCATCTAATGTAGGAAAAAGACACATGTCCATACAGTTACATACACACAGCCACACTCTAGATAAAATAAAAAAACACGGTCTAGCGTTTGCGTTTCCTGTCATTAGAAGATGGTAGCCTGCTGCACCGCTCAACCCCACCACAATCTTCAGCTGCTCCTAACAGCTCAGCTCACTTAATGGCAGCGACCATTGAAGGACAGCTTGCTGATGCCCTCAGTGGAGCTGATATAGTGCTAATAATAGTTAACACAGCCCCACGTCCTATGACCTTCCCAATGCCTCGCATTGCGTTTTCAAGGGGGAGAGTGAGTGTGTAGGGGAAAGTGGAGGCGCGCCGCCGCACTCGCCGTAGCAGGGAGGTGTCGACCTTCGGGTACGGCGGTGATCATCGACGGCTTTCTGTCCCGTCTCAATCTCGCCATCAGTCTCTTCGTTGTAACTGACGATAATGAAGTTTCTGCATGACCGCCTCCTCGCTCGCCTGTGGAGCACATTGTGTGTGCGTATGTATGTATGTGTATTGTGTATAAGTGCTATTCTGATGATCTGAGCAGTGGACCGGGAACTGGCGGGAGAGTGCCATGCAAGAACAACTTCACCAAGCAGCGACAAATTGGCAGCGAATTTGCATCGTCTGGTGTTATATGTGTACGTGGGTAAAGAAAAAGGCGGCGTCGCTGATGGCCAGGTGGCCATGTGGCCATGGTAATGGTGAGGAACGAGGTCCTGGGTTGGGCGGGACGTCCATCCACGTCCCGTCCAAACACAGCGCGAGTAGATCATGCGTGAGTGTCTCTGCGTGTGCACGCATGAAAGGGTGTGCGTGTATGTGTTTGCGTCCTGATGGGAAATCCCCTGAGTCGAAACGCACTGTATGCGTGTGCGTGTGCATGTACGTCTGCCCACCTAGGGAGGTGAACAGTGTCGCGGGCGTGTGTGCAAAAGGAAATTGCGGACTCTGTTCGCCCCCTCGGGGCACATCCCCCGGAGGAGCCCCTGCCAAGCCTCCTCTCCCAAACAACAATTTCCCACCCAACCGCACCACGCCGACTGCATCATCAGATCCTATCATCCCTCCCCTCCTCCCTCCCCTCCTCCCCCCTTTCGTTCCTCCCCTCCTCCCCCCCCTCGTCCCTCCCCTCTTAACCCCCTCACCTTGACACCTAGCTTTGTTGTGTACCCCAGCCAAGCCAAACTCAGTATCACTACCGCCGCCACAAAATACACTGCCGGGCTTAAGGGCTCCTCTCCTTCCTCCTCCTCTGTCCCACCCGCCCCGGCACCTCTCCGCTGCTGCCTGCGCCGACGGCCCTGCTGCGACGCCGACGGCTGCGATGGTGGCGGCCGGACACAGAAATCGGTGCTATAGGAGGCGCTGCCGTCGAAACAGCTGGTCTCCCCGGCCGCCGCTACCTCATACCCTGACGAGGAGGCGAGGCGAGGGAGAAGGCGCCGCGGATAGCACAGCGGGAACACATCAGGTGGAATTAAAGAGAGGGGGGCCGCCGTGGGGGTGGGAGGGAGGTTTGCGGGCACGGGGTTTCGGACCCCGGGGTAACCCGGGGAACCTCACTCCCGGCGTGCGGGCGGGCGTGTGCACACAGAGCACACCGTGGCCCCCGGAATCCCTCTTCTTGATAATCACGACTATTGGTATGTCGCAACTCAAGATGTAAGAGACACACACACACACACATGCGCGCGCGAGCGCGAGCGAGCGTGCGCGTGTAATGTCACACGCCGTATGTCACAGTCCCCGAAAGGGATGAGTGACACAATGCGGAATAGTGTCGACTTGTGGGGAAGAGCCGTCGGAAAAGATGAGTGCGAACCGTCACAGCCACCCGGATTATTATACCCTCCACCCTAACTCCTCCACCTCTCACCTCGCCCCCGTCCCTTTCCACCCCAACCGCAAGAACAGCACGCAGCGACCACCCCCTCGGCGCCCCCACCTGCCTCCCGACACAACCCCTCCCCGTCCTGCACCACGTCACGCAGCCGCGAGCACAGCAACGGTCCCGCCGCCGCTGCTACCGCTGCCGCAGCGGCAGCGCCTGCCGCCGCCACCGCCGCCGCCGCTTCCTGCCTGGCTGTTGGTGCGGCACAGGGCAACAGCTGCGGATCGAATGCCGACAGGGAAGTCGACTCGAAGGTGAAGTACTCGTCCCGACACGCAGACCACCACTGGTCGCAGACACCCCGGCACACCGTGGGCTTGATTCCCACCCCAACCTGGGGAAGGGGGAAAAAAGGGGGGAAAGGTACCCGGGGGGGGGGATCACATGATACACGAAACAAAGCGAATCAAGGCCGAAACGTCCAAGGCTCCAGAACGAGGGAAGGAGAAGGCCATGAAGGCCCTCGGCGGCCGTTAACGGAGGTTAGAGAAGGGGAGGGATAAAGAAGACAGGGACCGACAACTCGGGAGTCCGATACCGAAAGGTGAGGACTTCTTGTTTTACTAGCCCTTCTTTTCTAGCCCTTCCCTTCCCTTCGCATCCCTGTAGGCACTTCCAGCCGCTGCAGCTGCCGCTGCTACAGAAGCTGCCGGCAGTAGCAGCTGTGGTCGGAGTGGCAGCAGCCACCGCATTTCGTGAAATGCCCAATAGCAACGCTGGTAGTGGCGCAGTAGAAAGCAACAGCTGCAGTGGCAGCAGTGGCAACGGAGGCACTATTGGCAGCAGTGGCAGTAGCTGTAGCAGCAGTGGGCGCACCTCCGGATCACACACGCGGCAGGACATGCGTGTATGCCAGGAGAGGCAGGTCCGGCTGAAGGTGGGGTCCTCGCGAGCAGCCGACAGTGCACGGTGTATGGCCAGCGCGTGTGTTAGGTTGCAGCAGCTGCAGGTGTACTGCAGTGGGGTGGGGCGGGCAGGTGAGGAGGATGGGTTAGGGTGAGGGAAAACGGGCATACCAATGGGACAAGGGCGATTACTTACAAGAATCCGAATCCTTGGCCGTCCCTTCCGCTCGCGGTGGCTTTGGAGGGCCCTGGTTCCTTTCGAAACTTTCAGCTTTCCCGTCTCGTGCCCGACCCAGGATGTCCATTTAAATTTACAACTGTCCTCCCGTTCCGCGTAAGGTATAGTGCCTTCCGGGGGCACGATGCTTCATTCCCAGGTGCGCACCTGGGAGCAGGCGGGCAGCCGTAGGGTCTGGAAGTACGCCGGCGGGTACGGCTGGGAGAGCGGGAGACCCACCTGCGCAGCCAATCCAATCCATATGCCATGGACCTAAGTTTTTGTTACCTTCAAAATTGTGCTACTGTGCGCATGCATCACAGGAAAGAGCCTTTGACTCCACCTGGTCGTGGCAAGTGAAGTCATGCAACCTATTATGTCGTGTAGGGCTCCGGCAACAGCCCTAAAACGTTATCGTAAAATTGATGTACTTTTATTACAGGTATGGTAAAGATGCTGGTTGCACATACATCTCACGACGCACCTGGGGCTTGCAAAATAACGCATTGTTTTGCGCCCAAGCTGTAATTGCCCATATTGATATAAGCAGGAACTTCATACTATGTCCGCTAGGGACTAAGTCAATTCGATAGATGGATCGCTCCTCCTGCCTGTATCAGTCAGCCGAATCGTTAATGTGCACACTTTGGCGAGAGCTAAAGCAAGGCGGGTGGAACATTCATCGGCAAGAGGCGTCATAAAATAATAAAAAATTGAACACTGTCTTGGAGGTAGGGGCTTGCGATTGAGTATGTACGACGGTGTCGATTGTGCTCGCGACATCATCATCATCATCATCTTTGCTCTTCATAGAGACGTTTCTGCGCTCAACGGAATCAACCTGCCGCCACTAAATTTATAGGCTGTTCGACGTGGTTTGCTCGTGTCTGCTCAATGCGTGCTTTTGATGGCTTGCCAGGGGAGTTAATAACCCAGTGTTGCATAACCGCACCAGAGCTGTGTGTACAGAAACAAAATTGATGGGCCTTGGACGCGATCCCCGGCACTGCCGGCGTCTGCGGGCCACGAAGCTCGATGATGATGAGTAGGAGAGGAGCATCACTAACCTAACCGCCGCATGGCAACGGTCACGCTCGCATCCCCCGCACGTCCCTGCCCTCGTTCGCCCTTCGTCGCAAACTCTCCCCACATACACGTCACCGCGGGTCCAGTACTGCAAGCACAACCGCAACCAACTCGACCCATTACAGCTGGCGGCTGCTGCTGCTGCTGTATTTCAGGGCCAGGAATATAACACGTGGCTCTTGAATACCACTAACTCAGTTACCCCACCCCATCCCACCCCAACCTAACGAACACCCAGTCTTACATCGTGCAGCTCCGGACACCCCATCCAGCCCGCAGGGATGAGCTCTCCTCCCTCCCCTTCCCCCCAACATATATTAAATACATGCTGTATGGCTGCTGCTGCTGCTGACCTCTGTCTCCACCCTATTTCCACTCCCTCGCTCTTCACACACACGGACAAAAAAATATAACATATATAGAGGGATATATAATTATAAATATTATATGTAGAGAGAGAGAGAGGAAGACAAACAAATATATGTCCTATATCCTTTCTCCTCTCCAAGCCATATCACCATCCATGTTTGAGCGCCACCACGGTCTTATGTCGCGGTGTGGCCTCCCGGGTGACGACCGCCGCGAACCCCGCATCGCGAAGAGCACCGGGCATGTCCAGAGTGATGTACTCCTGAAGGGCGGGCGGGGGAGACCGGGTGTATGGGTGCGGGTGTATGGGTGCGGGTGTTACGGGTGCAGGTGTATGGGTGCGGGGAACGGAGGTGGCGAGTGACACCGGATGAGTCCGGGTTGGTCAATGCAGCAGTGCTAATACACGCATAGGCATAGCAGGAATAGCAGTAGTGGTGGCGACAAGGCCATCTCAGCACAGCGGACTAGTTAGCAGGAAATAAACTTTCCCTCGGGGCCCCTGACTACTGCTGCTGCACAAAAAGCACATCGTGTCGGGTTGGTCATGTTTCTTGGAGGGGGGGGGGTTGCACGAGGAGTTCCGGCCAACAACGAATTTGGTTAGGTTTGTACTATTCCGGTTGCAGTCGGTGCGCTTGACACGTGTGTCGGCAATTGTATCATTCTTTTACTTTTGACCTTTGCTTATCAAACCCCGCCTACATTACCACGCGCGGCCATGCACGCCACGCGGCCCCCACACCAAACCACCCCACCCCACCCCACCCCACCCCACCTGGAGCCAGGGCTCTGTAGACTTGAAGGCGGTGTAGGCGAAGGGGTTTCCGAAGATGCGTTGGAAGGTGGCGGACTGCGGGTTCATCTCCATGACCGCCATTACACCACCTGGCACGGGGAGGAGGCGGGGTGGGGGTGGGGGGGGGAAAGGGTGTTGTTGCGAGTGTGCGCGGAGGAAGGGTGTTATACGAAAGTACGAAACTGCCGTACGAGGGAACCAACCAGCACTTGTTCAAGGCAGCAAGGGCAGTGGAGACCCAGCCAAGCCAAGGCGCAGACGACAATAACTCCCCAGTGATGGATAGCTACTCACGAAAATGTCGGTATCGGTCAAATTTCCCGGGGCTGCATCAATCTACCTTTCCCCCTGGTCCCCCCCGATCTTCCCCCCCCCCCGACATACACTTCCCGCCCCCCCAACCCCCTTTTTTCGCCGCCTTTACACCTCCCTTTACTATTTTACGGCTTGGGTCTACTGCTCTTTTTCCGCTCTTATTTTAGTCTTGGCGGCTAGGTAGGTAGTTTTCCGCTCTCGTCATGACTACATCATCACGAGGACTGCTTTTTCACAACCGCCGACTGGTTAGTTGTAATTTTCTACATCTGCAGCAGCACTTTTTTTTCATTTTGCAGCAGCTTCATTCGTTCGTGGTTTGTCTTTTCCCCCCCAATCCCCTTCACCCCCTCCCCGTGCCCCCACCCACCCGGCCTCAGCACCCTGAACGCCTCCCTCATTATGTTCCGCGTCGCCCCCTGGGGCAGCTCGTGGCACACCAGGCACAAGGACACCAGGTCCTGACTTCCCGCGGGAAGGGGGGTGCGCTCAGCGGCCCCGTGAAGCAGGGTGAGCGCCCCCTCGGGGACACCGCCGTTGGCCGCCTGAAGAAGGGGTCGGTTGGTTGGTGCGGTAGGGAGATGTGGAAAGCGGGGTGGAGGTGTGCAAGGGTGAAGGTTATGTATACACACATGTATGCAAAAGGTAGGAACCGGTTGTGCATGAAGCTGTGAAGCCGGGACGGGGACGGGGATGGGGCGCGGGGACGGGGGACACCGAATTGATGAGAGAACATTGCCCCCAGGGGGGTGTTGATATATTGGTGGTGATGGGGGGTGTAGGAGTGGAAGTGGGAGTAGGTCGGGGTGTAGTAGGTAGGTAGGTAGGTAGGTAGGAGCGAATCCCTTTCACACATACACCGTGCACACACACGCTACACCCAACCCGACAGCGCCCCCCCCCACCTGCCGCAGCTCCTGCTCGTACCGCCCCACCGCAATCAAGTGCGGGGACAGGTCCACACCCGTGACACGGTCGGCACTCGGGAAGGCCCGCATCAGCTCCAGGGTGGATAGACCCGTGGCGCAACCCAAATCCGTAATCGTGCGGATGTTTCCTGGATCCACGCCCAGATCCGACAAACACTGCAGAAGTCTTGCGGAGTAGCTGGCGCGCAGCTTGGCGTCGCCCCTGTCACCAGAAGAAACCACCGTACCAACACCCCCCGGTCACCGTAATAAGGGGTGGTTGGGTTGCCCCCGGACGGAGTCATACGGACACATAGCACATGCATCCGCATCAGCAACAGCATCAGCATCAGCAACAGCAGAGGCAACAATCTCCCCCAGATTCCCCCACGTCCCCCCTAACGGGGCCCCCCCTCCACCGCAGGCAACACGTGCAATTCGCTTCTAACCCCCTCCCCCCCCTGGAGCAACCCCCCCTCCCCCGGGCGCTCACTCGGGGTCCATTTCCCTCCCCGCAGGGTCCATCACCGCGGCGTGTACGGACTTGGCCGCCATCGTCACCTCCAGAGCCGCCTCCCAGCACAGATTGCCCTGAGGGCACAGGAGGGAGCAGGAGGGCGCAGGAGGGAGAGAGGCAGGGAGGGGAGGTGCAGGGGAGACATTTGCAAAAGTCGAGGAGGGAATCAGCTGCCGACATGTCCAAACTACTGCGCAAACTGCCGTACCAGTACAAAGCATTGACGCAACTGCCCGAAGTATACCGACATCATGAAGAGGGGGAGGAGGTAGAGGGTGAGGAGGAAGTTCGGGGGTCAATGGGGGCAGAGATAGTCGAAGAAATAAACCCTGGACATGCTGTAGCTGTAGCTGTAGGTCCACCACCTCTATACACAAGTAAACACATCAAAAACGCTATCGAGGGAAAGGGCGAGATCGTGGAGGAAAAGTGGGGAAGGGGGAATCTGGGTATTCTTACTCGCAGACGTGCCGGGGAGCAGAGCATTCCGGCAGGGAGCCAGACCGCAAAGCGCCGCACGCAGACGCCTTCTCCTGCGGGGGCCCCCTTTTTGGAGGGAAAAGGGAACCACCTGGGGGGCCCCCCCCACACACACAGCAGCTCCTCCACCGCCGTCTCCCCTCCTCCCTTCCTCCCCGCCCCGTACGCACCTTGCCGTACGCATGGAACGGCTGCGTGTAGTAATCCGGATAAGTGACTGCGGGGTTGGTGACGGCCTGAGAGGTGGTAGGAGTGCGGGTGGTAGGGTAGGGATACATGGGGATACGGTACATGTGCCTGTGGTGAGTGGGTTGAGGTGGGTGGGTTTGGGTGGGTGCGACACACGCTGGAGACGTCCTCTGTTATGTTATGTAGAACACAAAAGGGAGGCAAAGCGCGCAGCCAAAGAGACGCTGCTCGTTTGTGTTTTAGAGCTAGACCCGACCCAGCCACCACCACCACCACGCCAGGTGCGGTGTTTGGCCAGGTGGTGGATTCTCCGCCTTTCCTGATCTACATCCACCTCCCCTATCTCCCCATCCCAACACACACATACACACACACATACACACACACATACACACACACATACACACACATACACACACGCATACACACACATACACACACATACACACACATACACACACATACACACACATACACACACATACACACACACACACACATACACACACACCCTCTCTACGACCTTGCCACCACGACAGACAGCAGGGGAAGGAGCTTGGGCGCGAGGAAGCGCAATGGTCCTCTGTACACCAGGGCCTAAATTACAGCGAATACGCTGTACGATCCAGCCGCACTATTGGCGTCGTATATTGCACGGCAGCCATGAAACGTATATACATGTGTGTAGATTACGCACATTTAAAACGTACCTTAAGTCGCGCCTCCCAGTCCTGCGCCTGCATGCCGCGCATGGCGCCCTCCCAGTCCAGGCCCAGGGCCTCCGCGCGCTTCACAATCATCCTACGTGCCTGCACGGGTAGTGAGGGGGTTGAGTTAAGGGGATGGCGGGCCCGGGCCCCGGGGTGGTGGTGATCCGTGTTTCCATAGCTAAACCTGAGCTCTTCATGACGAGCGGGAGGTCCCGGGAGGTAGGGTTGGAGGAGGGGGGGGTAATCCGCGATGGCGGGGGGGAGCCAAAGGCGGAGAGGTGGCCCGCTGAGAGCTGGTCGCCATCAAGAAACGAGCACCGGGCCGGGTATCGCCTTTTGTGTGGGTGTCTCCAGGAGCACCTGGCACCTCACTTCCACGTTACCGTCCACGTCCCCCTTCACCGGCCCACCGGTAGCGGAGGTACCACGGGGTTCCGAGGCCAACGAGTGAGAGAGCCTTGCTGCTGAGCACCGCAACTGGCGGGCACAGAGTAGTATCGCACAGCAGTATCTCACATGCCACAGACAAACCAACCAACGCCTGTGGCGGGATGCGACCCTGCTAGTGCGGCTACTGCTGCTGTGATGGCGGAGCGTGAGCGGCAGATGTGAAGGCCCTGGGAGTTTTGCGTAGGACAGATAAAGGCTTTGCAGGCGGAGGGGGAAGGGGGAAGGCGCTGGCGCTCACATTCTTGGCCGCAGCGTTGAAGAAGGGGGGGAACCTGAAGAGGGCCTCCACGGCCCCCATCAGCAGGGGGTTGAACTGGCGGCCGGGGGGGCTGGGGGGGGGGTCGTGTGGCGGGGCAGGTGTCGATGAGGACGGGGGAGGGGGCGGGGGAAGTGGCGTCATTTGGCGGTCGACACCAGGACACTAGGGTGGACGCAATGCCGTTCGCTTCTGAAGGACGGCGTGGAAAATGGCGGAAAAAGATTATTACGTTTGGGTTGGGGTTGGGGGGTAGGGGGGTTGATGTATGGGGTGACGGGGGTCCTTTGGGCTTGTGCGGACATTTTGTCGAGCAGCAACCAAGCAGGAAGTAGGAATGCTCTCGTTGCTTTGTAGCGTTTAATAGGATGCTGAGCTGGTGCTGGATAAGCAAATGCATTGAGCGGGGGGAGAGGTCCTGTGCTGGTAGCCAGGTCAGCGCTTCGTTAAGCTTGGGTTATCACCCGTTTGGAAGTACTTCGGCGCACGTCTGCACATAAAAAATTCAGAGCTACACGTCCTCTTCCCAGTAATAGCTTTGCCATAACCAGCTTGCTGCCTGTTGGCTGCTCGCACCTGACGGTTTCCTGCGCCCGGCATACAATGCACACTTGACGTTTGCAGACCGGAGGTCTAGCCTGTAAGATCAGGCCCACTTCGTAAGGAGTAGCTTGCAAAACTTGCTTTGCAGGGTTGAGTTCTACCTGCTGAAAAGGCTTAATTGTCACGCGCATCGTGGGGGTTTGGTCGGGATCCGTCTCGGTTTATGCCCTGAGCAAACAAGAGGTGTTATTGGTAGCAATGTTTTGACGGCACTAGCACTCCTGCAGAAAGATATCCACATTAGAATATTTTGAGGGTACCAGAGTACGGCGTCCAGTTAACAGGAAAAATCCTTGCCATGCTTTGTAGCATAACCTAACCAATTTAAATTCAGCAAGTATAGTATGCGGTTGACCACACATCTAATTGTCAATAAATGGCCATGATGCAGTGTCGACAGTTGCCGGATGTGGGAAGGCAGTAACCTTCAACAGCGCGCTCTGCACACGCTTACAGGTACCAGTACGCAAAATGCAACAATCTGATGCATTTTAAAAAATAGACAGATTCGTATGTATGGTCCGACGCGCGCCGCAGTATAAACGCCGGCGTTTCACGCACCACCCTTGCTTTCGGAGCTTGCACTAGCCAAAGCGCAGCGGCCAGCTCAAGAGTAAGGTTACTGGGTGGGGCCAAATTCAAGTGCTTGTTTAGATGCACGGTTCCCACGGAAGTGATTGCACACCACCTGTTCCTAGCCTTTCGGTAATCAATCCACCTCGGACTGCCTAGACTCCTTGTAAAGGAACCCACGGCTCCGGAGTTAAGGAAATGGTAAATCATGGCCGTTTACACAAGTCCCTCGAAAGGGGCTTCAAACAGTAGACCATGCCTTTGAAATGGTACTGCAGTACCGTTACGGAGCTGCCCGTGCAACCCTTCTCACACTGAAGCGCATCCACAAAAAGGAATTTGTGCAATGGGCATATAGGGACAGGATTAAGTCCGGAGGTTCGACACGCTAAAATATGGCATACAAGCTAACACGCAGATACACAAATCACACAAATCAGTCCAGGTGGGTTACCTGTCCAAACGATACAGCACACGCTAGTGCAGCATACGAGGCAATATCAACTGGGACGGGCCCCCGGCTACTGCTAATGATCCTATCCGTTTGAACGAATCCGTCCGCCATCCGCAGGTGGTCCGCAATACGTCATGCGATCATAATGAGGCAAAGGGGACATACATGCACGATGAGAAAAGGACGCTAATGTGCCGGGCTTTGACATAAAAATGGCTATGGCTCTCTCAGCGTTGTATGAAACAGCACAGAACTGGCGTACAACAATTTCAGCACCTCTAAAACCTATCTGTAAGGAACAATATGGGGCGGATGCAGTACCTGCCCCGAGGAAGATCAGACAGCCATCTCGGACACAATATACATTGTCCGTAAGGTCCGTAAAGCCGGTCAGGACAGCGCCGATGCGCGTCTACCGCATGCAACGCCCGTACAAGCGGACATGAATTGAAACGTCGCCTGCACACCAATTTTCTGCAAACGGCTAGAACATACGTTAGACATTACGCAGAACACTCAAAAACGGTTCATTCACACAGGGTTTGGCCACCATGTGCCCAGCGCATGCCTGCTACGGCACCAAATGTGTGCAGGAAAAGGTAGCATAAATTGGCATGCGGATGTACATGCAGGATACACAAGCGTAAGTGCAGAGGAAACGGTAACTAAAGGACGCGTCAATGTTACTCTCCAAGATCACCTCTACGCTGTGCCGTCCATGGCTATTCCCGATGAAATATTTACAGCTGTGCCAAAGCTTTTAATTAGCTCCGGCGTCCCTGCCGCTACGATAACTCTTCCTCACTCGCGCTCTTTGGTGCACGCTCCGCTTGCTGCGTTTTCGAGCTATTGATAATTCCAAGCTCAACAGCTGGAAATTCCTTTTGAGGAGCTGACGCGGTTCGACGATGACGTTGCGCTGACTGGGGCTGGGCGGCCGTTGCGTCGTCGCATGACTCTTTCCGGGCTGGAAACCAGCTGATCCTCGTCAGGTCGCTCAGCTTGACCATGGTACAGAAACTAAGTTGAAGGTTTAGATGTGGTCACAAATGTGCTGGTTTAGAAAGCGTTTCCTACTTGTCCCATGAAAAAAGCTTGCATGTATAAACTGTATTATATGATAATAACATTCAATAAGTATAAACGGTTTCCCTCTGTATAATGGATTATGACCCATACCAGTTGCGCACATTTTCGGCTGCGTTGGAAGATCCAATGGAATCCAACGACAACCAACTATCCTTGGTGGTCGCAGTCATTAAAAAAAAGCATCTTGCTTGATTTACCTTAATGATTGAAAGGCCCGACACTCTGAAGGTAGGACAGTATCCTAAGATGTTCGACGTATGGTAGAGCAAGGTTCAGTACGACAGCACACCCCGACAGGCGCGGACGGACCGCAGCGGTTTGCTTAGGGTTTGTGCAGCGGAGCCTTGGATGAGATGCTGATTCCTGCACTCTGCTCGTCTATTGCCACGATCACTGCCTATCTACTGCAAACCGCCTCAGGCACAATCGGAACCCAGGACTGTCAAAACTAAAACCGCGCAATGAGTCGCAATACGGATCGGATACAGTTAAACATGTAACTGAATTATAAGCAACCTTTAGAGGAGGGGAAGCCAGTGCGGAGGATAGGAATCGTCTAAGAGGGAGTAAGGCGACCAAGTAGCCACAGCCGCCATTGTCGCCGCCACGCCCTGCCAAGCCCCCCTGCCTTGACTACGTCCTCATAGCGCCCCTTTGACTAGATAATTACGGCACTTGGATGCGTGTTCACCAGCAGCAAATGATTCCTCAGCCCATCCCGTGTCACCGTTGCTGCTGCCGCCGCCTTTTGAACAAATTGAGCCTGCACTCGGCCTTACAGCAGCGTGATGCACGGGATTGGGGGCCAGCTGTACGCAGCAGAACGTGACCCATGCACCGTCCTGCACGTGGCAATTCCAAAAAGTGTATCACTCGGTTCACTGATCGTGATTACCGGATGATGGTAATTGCCCGGCGGGTTAAGCTCGGGAGGGAATGGCGCCGGGTGGTGACTGCATAGGACCGGCATGTCGATGCTTCCTGTACCACAGTGCAGCCATCGCAGGGGGTTGGCACGCCCATACCCGGAAGTCTACAGGCCCTTAATGTCCTTCCATGTCCCACAGTGTGCTTTAAATCCGAAGTTTCGATGTCGACCTCCTTGCCGTTGAGGCAGAGGCACGCCATGACGTGCCAAATTGTGGCTGACGCCGAAATAGCGACCGTGGTGGCCGGCAGGCGGAGTGTCGCATGCCGTGACGAAATTGCGCTGTCGTCTAAGTTGATGCGGGTTTGCTGGTCCTTGCATTTTAGCGGACTTCTCATCGTGTGGCCACGTGTGGTCCATCTATTGAGGAGGCTGTGTGTAAAAAATGCGTTTGCTAAAAGGCGAGTTCAAGCGCGGGGGTGAGGAATTTCTCATCGGCTGTTTGGTTGCGAGCCCCGGCCTAACTGTAAGACTTCCTACGCACTACAGCTGCACTACCTTTAGTAGAGGGACCTTCAAGCACATTAACACGACTTGTCCAGCTGGATTGTCAATGAACATCACCACGGAAATGCTGCCAGGAATGGGAACCACGGAAGCCATTTGCTGCAAGCAGTAGCGGTTGGCCTCTCCGTCGGTGGGCCATGATGCCCCTGAAGTTTAGCAGGAGGCTGGAACACTTTACAGGAGGCAGTTTAAAAATAAAGTTGCTCTATCTATTTGTTAGACATCTGCACTCAGCGGAATTTCAAAGGGCCCAGAAACCAGATCCAACAGCATTGGAAAACTTCACGGCTTGGGCTATTGGATCGACCCCAAACTACACAGAGAGTAATATTATCAAATCTGAATTGCCAGCTCTTACAGCGAGGAGGGTTGCCGAGTTATCTCTGTATCGGTTCCAACTGGCGCGATACTTCTTCCCTGTTGACAAGCGCAAGTGCCGCTCGTTGCAGATGCTGCTACTGTTAACAAATTAGACACCTCTAGACTACCTCCTGGGTTCTGACCGTGGACTTGTGAGTGTCATAATGGATTTCCGGAAGACGTATGCTGGTCCTGGTTCGCGCTCACCGGGCGATCCCTTCGCTCAGTTCAGCAAGGACACTAGACAGGAACGGGATGACCGTGCTCGCCAAGAGCCGTATGGTAGCTCCAGACTCAACAGGTCAGCGCAGTTAAAAACGCGCCTTGCGACCTCGTGAACGCCGGGGGCCTAGAAGAAGACAGTTACAACGATACGACCATTTGCTAGGGACCTTGGGCATCAGACGTCGAGGAATAGTGAGTTTTCCCTTTTAATTTTGCTCAGGCCGACACAGTCATCCATTGCAAAAGGCGCTGCCGATAACCGCGCTCAAAGAAACTCATTATCGGCCAGGTGAGGCTCCTCCTTGCTTAAAGTGCTGAGGAGAGCACGGAGGCTTGCACGTCGGCATTAATTGCCTCTTGGCTCATACCTTGCAGGACCGGGAGCCGCTACACCAATTTCACCCAAAGCACCTCTGATTTGGGGCCGGCGCTGCGAAGCCCGGGCCAGACGGGTAAAAGCAACATCCCCCGGCAGCCCGGTCACCAGCCTCAGCAGAGCCCTCATGCTCCCCCTTCACCACCGCCGCCTATAGCTGTCGCTACCACAACCGCCGAGACGAACGAAGACAAGCTGCAAGACCTCATTGATGCCGGCCAGGAGCGTGAGGCGCAGCTCTTGGAGCAGAAGCGCCAATTGGAGGTCGGTGCCGGTCATAAACTTGCGTTGTCGTTCTGTCTTGCATAGCATGCGGGAAATGACGGCGCCCGTACCCGCGCCGTACCCGTGCCTCTCCGCTAACAACAAGGCCAAGGACGGATAGCGGAAGACTATTCCCTACTAGAAACCTACTAGGATTCCAAGTTCGTGTACCGCTTAAATGATTGTGAACCCCCTGGCGTGGTCACCCTTCTTCTCCCTTTCCTTCCTTTTTCACCTGTAATTATGCCGCTGACCGCTCCGGAATTTACTTTGGCAAGCGGGATCGCTTACCCGAATCCAATCAGCCGTGCTCAGGCAGTCGCCCGCTCTCCTGCCCCCACGCAGGCTTCCCTCCACGCCACCAACCTGCGCTGTGCTGAGCTTGCGCGGGGGCTGCAGCAGGCCACCGCCGCACTTGATGCCGAACGCGCCTCCGCGGTGCGCCTGCGCTGCGAGCGCGACGAGCACGCCGCAGAGCTGGACCGTGCGCGCAGCCAGGCGGCTGAGCTTCAGGCCTCCGGCAGCGTAGCAATGACCACATCTGAGGTGTGCCGGGCGGCGCTGTCTACAGCCTTCAAGGGCACCGTCTCTGCTATCGGCAGCGCGCACGAAGAGCTGGAGAGCGCGCTGGCGACGCAGCTACAGCAGCAGCTGGAATTGGATATGTACCGGGTCCGTGTGGAGGAGCTCGAGGACTTGGCGTTCGAGCGCGGCGCAGAGCTTGAAATGGCGAGAGTGGAGCGGCGGCAGCTGAGTCAGGCGATGGAGGAGCTGGCGGAGCGGCTCCAGACCCGCGAGGACGAGGTGGGATTTCGGTGGGGCTGAGAGATCACGAGATGTGTGATGGGGCTTTGGGTACAGGGGAGCAAACGGGTATGGCGGGACGGGAGACGAGGGAATAGGGATGGGGAAGTAGAGGTATACCATCTCTTCTGATCCTTGTCTGCCTTGCCTGGATGTCTTGGTGACCTGGTTCCCGCTCCGCCCTTTTACCCTAAGATTCTCTCTGCAGGGGACCATTCACCCAAACATTCCTGTTTCGGTTTTGTTCGGGTCAGCGCTGTTACCCCCTGCTGAGAATCCCCCGGGGTCGCCATCCTTACCTTTCCGCACAGCTAAGCGAACTGGTGTCGCTCCTTGCACCAAGTGGTGCCGCACCGGGAGACAAAGGAGCCAATGGTGATAACAGTGTAAATGGAACGTACCGCTTGGCCGTGGACCAGGTCAAGGGCTTGATGCAACGGTGCGCCGGGTGACGGGGCTCTGCTGTACGCGCGGGTCTGATGCGATCCTCGTGATGTTGTTCACCAGCTGAGCCAGCGTGGAAGATACAACGGAGGGGTAGCGGCGGCTCCGTGTTGGATACGGCTTGGCGGAGCAAAAATAGGTTGTTGGGCGGTCCTTTTAAGAGGCGGTCGGCGTACCGAAGTTGGAATTGAGAAGTTGTGCCAGGAAGGAGGGGGAATTGTTGGAATTGTTTCCATTCCGCACATGATGTATGTGCGTATGCACCCACCGGCGTGAAGCTCATGCGGTAATAAATGCTGTCGTGCTACCTTAAGAACAAGCTCCCTGAGCTCCGGGATCTGTGCTGCGCTGCTCTGCACCGGGTTGAGCTAGGCTAGGTTAGGCGCCCCACGGTGCCTCAGTGTACCCATCCCTCGTTTTCTCGTTCCCCGCCGAGCATATATAACCGGTCCACTCTTTAACAGCAAACGTATGTAGAAGCTTTTATCATGCATCTCCACGAACCCACCCACGTCCACGTCCACACAGGGTGCAGCAGCTGGAACAGCAGCTTGCAAGTCAGAGTGTGGATGTGGAGGCCCTGCTCAGCAGGGTGGCAGACTATCAGGACCAGGCGGCCCGCTTGCAGCAGCACCTGGCCAGGATTGGTCCCGGCTCAAGCTCCGAAACCGACGGCGGTGGCGGTGGCAATCCGGATGGAGAGGGGCAGCAGCAGGCACCCTCCGACCTGGAGACGCAGGTGGGTGGGAGGAGACCTAGAGGATCACCAGCATGAGGTGCCCTGGGATCTCCGTGGACGGACGAAGAGATGCACGGTCGACTTGCTGTGATGCCGGGTTGAGCTTGCTGCTCTTTGTTACGTTGTGACTGTATGGGGCAGCACAAGGCTGCTGCTGACTGAACTTTCGTTTCCTTGCCTGGCCTCTTAAACAACCGGGGCTAAGTCCACCGCAAAACTCCGCAAACCTGTAAATGGCAGGTTTTGGAGCTGGTGGCCGAGCGGGATCAGCTGGAGGGCGATAACCTGCAGCTGGCGGCGGAGAACGAGCAGCTGCACCAGGATGTGTCAGGTGGGTGGCTCTCCATGCCGCCGCTGGTGCTGCTGGCGGTGCTGCCGCTCACGTTGCTGCTGCTGTTCCTGCGTCTCCAGCAGCGTCGCAGCACCATTCTCCGATATACACCGTACGCGAGAAGCAGGGCTATAAACTAACCGGCCGGCCGTTGTATATTTTAACCGAATTTCATTTTAGTTGGATCTTAGATCTCACCTCTCCGCGTCTCCGAACCCCTCTCAGATTTTGCGTTTTTGCAATTTTATCCTGGTCGCCGTTAAAATGGGCGAGTATGCCGCGTCTCCTCAGGCGCATGCGCGTTTCATATTTTTAATATTGAGTATGCGGCGGGTGGAGGCGTTGGGGGTTGGAGACCTAGGTACAAGGATCCTTGCATTTGCATGGAGAGGGGCTGGGGGGCGGATCTCTTGTGATCCCTTTGCATTCCCGCAAACAACGCCACCTCACCGCTCTGTTGCGCTGTGTCGTGCTGTGCTGTTTTGTGTTGCGTGGTTTATGCCCTACTGTGTTGCGTTTCGTTGTGTTGTGCTGCGGCTTTTTCTATCGCACACAGGCGGACGTCCTGACGATGTCCCGCCGATGCCTCGGATGGTGAAGTTTGCGGCGCTCCTGGGATTGCTGCTCTTCAACGTAGGCTCTGTTCAGCGGCGGCGCAAAGCCTTGCGCCTATGCATGTGAACGCGCGAATGCGCTGAGGCAAATGACAGGGCCCGCCATTTTCAGCTGATTCTATCGTATTATTGTCATGTGTTTTGCGTATTCGTTTGTGGCTCTATATGCATCATGTCAAGGGTAGTAGAATGGGTATTTTTTTAGCTGCTGTCAACGCGCACAGCGAGCAGGGCAGGACGACAGGAAGAAGATAGTCATGTAGATAGTCATGTACATAGTCTACACCTTCAATGTCGCTGAGTATCAAGGCGTGTGAAAGCGTGCGCAAGCACGCGCACACAGGGTCACACGCACGCACACGTTCCAAGTTTAGCGTTTGGCCTTTTTGGTTTTTGCCATCACACGATTTAACACATTGACATGGCGATGCGCAGTCGCATTTGCATCCCCCATCATCGGCACGCGTGCTCTATATGATGGATAACTATCAACTGCATGGCTACATGCTTGTTGTTTTGAATGTGTGGTTATTGTTCAGCCTAAGGCAAAATCTTAATGCGCCGCCAGGCATCGTTGAGCGTGCTGCACAAAACAAAAGTCGTACATGATAGAGTGCCGTATGAGTAATGCCGTACTGTTTTGGCCAATGCGTGCGCTCAAGCTGCGCAGAACAAATTGCCTCTATTGTTATCCACGTGCAGTCACAATTATCTCGTACACCTAACCCAGCCAATTGAGGGAAAGACAGCTGCCTAATTGTTTCTCACGTAGTTACTCGACGTCGCGATCCGCCAGAGATTTCTCTGTGACAATGATTTTTCGCCGCAATCGTCATAAAGTCGGAGGACTGGCGTCCGCCTTTTGCCATTCGTTGTGTGGGGGAGCGGATCCAGCTTCGGAGCGGCTCTGGCGCTTTCCTTGCTCTGCCCGTTCGAACGATGGCGAGTAGATGGCGGCTGGGAAGGAGAGGGCTTAGGGGGATGCTTTCAGGACTACGGGTCGCGGGATTCCCTTGTGTAGGCGTGTATGAGAAGCGAACCGCCGGCGGACGAACCTGCGGATCGATGTCCCGGGCAGCAGCAGTAGCAGCACGAGGAGTTTGGTCTCGTACCTCATGTACATATTAGACGTGTAACCGTTGTTTGGCTTGCGCCGTACATTTCCCCCTGCGGGAAAGATTTCGTGAGCCTTGCATGCCGACATCGCGAACCCAGAGCACTCGTTACTGGGCACGAACCACCAGGGCGAGATCCGTACACATCCATCTAGGCAGCAGTACCACCATCGTTGCCGTCAGGATCGTCATAATCGTTATCCTTATCAGCAGCAACAACAGCAGTAGCGGGGGACTCCTTTCACGATCCGTATCTTAGATCCACTCCCCTTCAGGCCCATCCCAACCCCCTTAATGATGATGCAGTTAATCGCATCCCGTATGCGCCGCGCATGGTCGTGTGCCTAGACAAATGGTTATGTCAAATGTGCATGGAGTTCAGCCCCCGCCACTCGCTAGTTTTTGTGGCGACAGGAGGAGAAGCTAGTGCTCCGCCCAAGTATTGAACACACGGTGGACATTCGCACAAATTGTTTGCGCTCTTTTTTCGCGTTACCTTCTCTTCTCTTCCACGGGAGAAGGCCACGGCAACGACGCGCTACCTTTCCTTTCCCCCCTTTTCCTTCCCCCTAAACACCTCTTTGTCTTGCCGTGCCCTGGACCAATGCCCAGCTGCTCAATTCTTCCCCAGCTGCTGCATGAGTCGCGCAACTGCCGCAGCAACCCCTCTCCCTCACGCATCCACACTCCCTTCCGGCGCCCAACCATTCTCAGCTTAATTATGTTATTACCTCATGCTCTCCGGTCGTTCCTTAATGCCACCCGCCTTCTTTTGTTCCTCCCCATCCTGACCCCATCCTCCTGGTCTTTCGCCTTATCCTGCCTCCTCCGGCCAGCGATGCGCGACCGTCTCGAGGAGGTCCTGGTAACCGCGGCCGTATTCACGGCGGCGTCAGACCGTGACGCTGCCACCGCCGCCGAAGTGGCCCGACTGCAACACCAGCTGAACACGGAGGTGGCTCGAGCCGAGGAGTGGCGGACGCAGGCAGAGGCGGCTCGTGCGGAGGTGCAGGCGGCGCAGCGGCGCGCGGAGCACAGCGCCAGTGTACTCCAGGACTTCACCGCACAGGCCGAAGCGGCGCAGGCCCAAGCCGAGGCGGCACGCGGCGCGCTGGAAGCTGCCCGAGTGGAGGGCCTGAAGCTGCGCAGCGAGCTGGAAGCGGTGCGGGCGCGGGAAGCGGACTCGAGGGCGGAAGCGCAGGAGGCGAGAGTAAAGCTGGAGAGGGTCAGAGCGAAGCTGGAGACGGCGCGGACCGAAGTGGAGGCGGCGCGGACGGAGGCCGAGGAGGCGCGGGCAGACGCGAAGGAGGCGCGGGGCGAGGTGGAAGCGGCGTTGGCGGAGGCGTTGGCTGCAAAAGGGGAGCTGGAGTCGGTGAGGGAGCGGGCGAGCCTAGAGGCTGAGCAGGCGCGTGTGGAAACAGAGGAGCGAGTGCGAGCGGCGGAGAGTGAGCGCGTGGAGGCGCTGGAAGCGCGTGTGGCTGCGCAGGCGCTCCGGGTGAGTCGGTTTGTGTATGCCGGCGCGGAGCCGTAAGGGGGAACCGAGGAATGGCGGGTGACGGGACGGTAGTGGGGGAAGGAAGGTGTCAGTGCAGTAGCTGCCGGTGCACGGCCCTACAAGAGACCCTTTAGGTTCTCCAGCCTCACCTCCTGACTGTCAACCCAAAGCAAAGAGCCCTGGCAATTCCTAGTATACCCACCTGCCCTGCCGAGATAACCCCCCGTCCTCCCCGCCCACATAAAAACATTATATCCTCTCGTTGCTGCGCCAGGCCCAGGAGCTGGCTATAGAAGCGACGCAGCTGCGTAGCCGGGTTTCGGAGCTGCAAGACCAGCTGCTGGCGGGCCGGCGTGTCAGCAAGGAGGCCATGGAGCAGGTGCGGGGCAGGGGCCGATGGGTGTTGAGGCAAAGCCGAAGCTGATGAGCGAGTCAACGTGAAAGGAAGGGTATTTATGGAGAAGCGCGGGGGAGCATCAGGGCCAGAGTGAGGGGGGCCTATATTGATTGCAAGTCCTGGGTTTCTTCAAGGCTTGCGGTGTCAATGAGCTTAGCTTTCCTATGCTTACCTTAAGGACCGATTCTGGCCGTCCTGATGCTCGCAGCCCACCTTCCTCCATCTAGTCGCCCCTCCTCGCTTTGCCACTTTTCCTGTGCCGTATGAATAACCGCAACTTGTTGTGGCACCAGTGCTTCTCCCTCTTCCTCTGTCGCCGCTGCTGCCATCCCTTCCCTTCACATACACACACATATACACCGCAACCCCCTACCCCCCATCCCACCACCGCAGCTCAATACCATGCACGCCAACGAGGACGCACTCATGCAGCGCATCCTGGCGGGGGAGGCCGAGCGGCAGCAGCTGCTGGGACAGATCGATGAGGGCAACAGCACGCTTGCGGCCATGAAACGAAGGTAAAGGCATAATGGCACACGGAGGCCACGGCTTGCGTTCGTGGGGATATGTAGGATATGACTGTGTGCGTGTGTGTACGCTTGTGGCAAGATTGGTTATAACGTAAATGGGCGGGAGCGTGCAGCACGGCTGGGCAGAGGCTTCACTCAAAGGGGCTCGGGAATAGAATGTCCGTACATCGGTTTCTGGTCTTTCGACTATGTCCAGCGCGGCATGACCCACGGGGCCTTCATCGACGGCTGCTCATGGCCAGCAGTGCGGCGATGATCTACTGTCGGCCACTCCACACGTCATCCCACCCTGTTCTTGGCCTGTACTGCGCATGCTTTACCCCGCTCTGCCCTACCCTACCATGCCCGTTCTTGCCCTGTGGTGGCGACAGATTGGATGAGGCGACGCAGCAGGCGGCGGACGTGATGGAGCTGCGCACCCGGGTGGTGGAGCTGACAGCGGAGGCAGAGCGCCAGGCGGAGGCCGCCGCCGCGGCGGGGTTGCGGGTGGGGCCCCTGGAGGCGGAGGTGAAGGAGCTGCGGTTGACGCTGCGGGCGCATGCGGTGAGTTGTGAGGCCACGCTGTGTCTTGAATGGTCTGAATCGCGGGCAGGAACTTGCGAGAACGGTACTGATCCCGATGGCTGTAAGTATGCATGCATACATCTATGTGTGTATGTATTCACGTATGTTTGTACAATTATTCGTGTTTGATTACAGTTGTGTGGCTGACTGGTTTTCCGGTTACAGGATATGGCCCACTCCAAACTACACATGGTATAAGGAAATCCGTGTACCGCTGTGTCTGTGCTCCGTTGTAGCCCCGTGTAATGGCCCCGACCTGCCTCCCACTTCACCCACGCAGCCCCTCCTAGCCCTTTGATGTGATATTCCGCCTGACCTCAATCCCGGCCTCAGGAGCTGGCTAGCCAGGAGGCCCGTGTGGGCGAGCGCCGTGAGGCCCAGCTGATCGCGCTACGTCAGCGAGTGGTTGAGGCGGAGGACCAGCAGCGCCGCTCGGAGGTGGAGCTGCGGGTCCTCAAGGCTCAGGTACGGGGCGGCTGCTGAATGCTGTTGCTGCTGCTGCGGTGATGGTGGTGGTGATGGTGGTGGTGGTGGAGACTTAAGCACCGGGCGAGCACTGACCGAACCAATCCCGATTAGCAATAAGGTGCGCAGCCGACTTGACACACCTGATGACACGACAACGGGTGAGATGGTCCGAAGAGTTTTTATTGGTCGGAGCCCCTTTGGCAGACACCTCACATCCCAGTGGTTTACTAGGGTCATGTGTGGTTTCGGAGCAGCGTAGAACAATGGTTTCCTCCCACACCCACCCAACGCGCCCGCGCAACCCGTTCAGGTATCTGTAAATGAGCGCCTGCGGTCGCAAGTGGACGACCTGCAGGCTCGGCTCGCGCTGGCGGAGGCAGATGCTGCTGCAGTGCTGGCGGAGGCAACCGCGGCCCCATCAGGCGCGGCCAAAAGGCTAGTCGTCGACGCGTACACGCAGGTTGAGGGCAGCGATGCCGCCGCCGCCGACGACGACGACGGCGGTGATAGCGAGGACGCTACCGCGGAAGATGACAAGGGCCCCGCATCCCAGCAGGCTACATATAATTGTGAGTCTGCCGGTGACCGCGGCGGCGGCGGTAGCAGTGGCGGCGGGATCTTGCTGGCGCCAATGGAGTCCCTGAATAGCCCCTTGAAGGGCCCGATACTTTCGAGTCAGAGTCCGATGCGCGCACACACCGCGACCAGGCAGTCATTGCTCCTGGGGTGGCTGGGAAGCGCAGCTGGCGGCGGCGCTAGCGGCGCTGGCGGCGGCGCCGTCCCTCTCTTCAGCTCGGAGCACGTGGTAGCGGACAATCTGCTGGCTTCGTACAACACTATCCCGGAAGAAGATCCAGATGACGGCCATGGCGGTACCGTCGTCGCCGCCGCTACCGGCAGGCGGTACGGCAGAGGGTTGTTGTCTTCGTCGCAGTCGTCGAAGCGGCGCCGCTGGGGACGGGTCCGACCTCTGAGGGTGGTGTTTGAGTTGGCGGTAAAAGGCACACTAGTGGCGGGCGGCATGGCGCTCGGGCTGGCACTGGGGAACCCGCGGCCATTTCAGGGGCTGGCAATTGGTAGTATCAGTGGCAGCTCTGGTTGCGATGGCGGCGGGGGTGAAGCCGCGGCGACGCCGACGGGGGCGGCAGCGGCTGTGGTGGAGGCACTGATGGAGAGCGCTCCACCCCCGGCCATGGCTGCCGACTGAGGTAGGGCTGGTACTTGAGGAGTGTGTTGAGGCGCGATGTGAGTTTACTTCACGGTGGCATAAGCAGCGAGATAGGGTGATGTGATGAAAGGGAACACCACTTGAAGTTGGATATGTATTTGGGCGAGGTGGTATGTGTCCCGGGGTATTTCCTGCTTCACCCAGCTGTGTATGTCTTCTTAGTTAACCGTGACTAGATGGGCCCTATTGGTTGCCTTACCCGACCTACCACCATCTCACCACACCAACAAAAAGGTCACTTGGGGGAAACATAGCGAGGCGAAGTAAGCCCGATTAGGAGAAAGGCGGTATGGAATATGGAAGAGAGGCGTGACGACATGCCGCGTCCCTTTTGCCGACCTATAGTTGCATTTGGAGCAGCAGTAGGGAATAGTTGAAATATCGTTGCTCTGGACATCGTTGTCGCATTCGACTCGGTGGTTGTTGCGGGTGGTTGCAGTAGTGGTTTCGGTTGCAATGCCTGGTCTGGTTGGACATCGGCGCAAATCCCAGTTCCGGATGCCATCATGCGATTTTTTGCTGACTAGAGGACTTGTGTTGACAAGGCTACGAGACATGATATTAGGTAGCAGACTGGTAGCAGATCAGGTAGGTCTGGCGGTTTTCCTTAGACCTAGACCTAATGCGAACAAGTAGCTTCAGTTGAAACCGCAATTGTCTATGGCAGGGTGATTATTGCCTGAAGGTCATCTCTGTATTTGAACTAATGATGTGATGGTGTGACAACATGCTGCATTACACGATGTAGCCAGGAAGGGTTCGCACATTGCGAGCGGAAAAATAGTATTCAATCATCTCTTGTCGCTACGAGCACTGCATCCGTGCTCGCGCATGCCATAGCGTTACATACCATTCACTACTCTTAAGCATTGTATTCCGTCTTCAATACACCCACACACATTAATCTTTTTTAATAGCCGACGGCCGCCATCGTTGTAACAGTTTAATAGTCACGACGCATTCACTGGGTTACGGCCGGAAGGAATTGCCAATACTGAAGGAGAGTGGGGGTGCTTAAAACTCTTTGTACTGCATGGGGGGATTGAAACAAATCACTCGTTATGCGCCTACATAGGCATCCTATGGTTTTCTTGCTCTTCTCCGAGGATATTGCACTAGTGTCCACCTCCCAGCTAAGGAGGGAGGGTCCCCAGTTCACGCTCAACAACAGGCTGCTATTGTCAGGTCTGGCATTTAAGTCATGAAGGAAACGGCGCCCGCCCCTGTCCATTGCAGGTTGACGGCGCATTAGCAAGCACACTTAATGTGCAATGCGACAGAAATGATGCCGTAATATAGATAAGAATTCCTGCATGGTTTCCTGCATGGCCTGCAATGCTCGGTCAGGATGCTCTTCGCTTAGCTTCCAGGTGCACCAATCGCGCCTGGCCGCATGCCCGTCATTGTTATGACGGTGCCGCCTGTCCGAGCCTAGCGGATTTGCATGCGTGGCTAATGCATCTAATGCATGAGACAGAACTGGGAAATTGTTGACACGGATGATGATGATGATGAGGAGGAGGAGGAGGAGGAGGAGGAGGAAATAAGGGGAAGTAGGACGCCGTTCTGTCCGCCGTCACCCCAAGGCGAGATCCCATGCGGAGGATTCCGTCATCATCTACACTCGTCGCCACTCGCGTGTGCGCCCTGAGCACCTCGTCTTCTTGGTATCACATACGGCTGTGTGGCTCTCACTCCGCATGGCCTCTATATGGTGCGGTCCTGTGGTCGGTCGGAGGCACGCACGCACGTACCACCCGACCGAATACCGAATTACTAATGCATCTAATCATGGGACAAAACACTTCTTGGGCAACACACATCCTGCGCTCCCGAAAACACCGCAAAAGCATTGCCAGCTAAAGGCCAGGGCGTGAGTGCCGAAATGGAGCCAGCGCATGCCGTTACACCCGCGCTGTGAGACCATTTGTGTCCCGGGCCAAACATGGGGGTGATGAAAGCGATCAGCGACCTGCCGTGACTCCAACGTGGTACTCCTGGAACGGGGAAAGGTTCACGAGTTGGCCGGGTGGGACCCGCCTTGCGATCAGGACCCGCCTTGCAGTCAGAACCGGAGGGATGCCGCGGGGCCATGGTCAGACCGCCCTAAACATGTTCCAACATGCAAACACGCACACGCGGACGTGCACCGATTCGTGCTTCGCTATGCACTTGTATGCAACATGCAAGTCAAAACCAATTTACCGAGAAGTCTTCTTCAATCGTTTGGGCACATGCTCTTACCGTGTAACAATCTCGTAATAGTCTCACAGGCTCACTGCCCACAGCGTCTCGGCCATTCCCGACGGCCTTGCCGTACAATCTCATCTCTTCAAATTGCACACTCTCTCCTCTCTGCCTCTCTCGCCCTCCGGGTCCAAAGCCCCCGGGGCGCACCTTCCCCGACCTCACCCTCACAACCGCAAAAAACCACTTTACTCGTATACGTCAGTCCATAGCGTTCCAATCGATTCCTGCCGCGCCCCCGCCATTGCTGCTGCCATTGCGGTACAACTCCCCATCGATAGCCACAACGGCAACGCCTGCCCCAGAAGCCTTTACGCCCGAAGAAGGCGCCGGGTGTGTTGCAACCACCGTCGGCTTTGACGCTGGTCCTGGTTTCGGCGCCTCCTGTTTCGATGCCGCCTCTCCGGACCTGAACTCCTCCACCTTCACCTCCGGCGCCAACTGCGCCTTCCCCATCCCCTGCTGCTCTGCCGCACGCGCCTTCGGCTGCTGCTGCGGCGGAGGCGGCCGCTGCTGCTGCTGTTGCGCCGCCCGAAGCGCCTCCTGCAACTCCCCCCGGACTCCGCCCTCCTCACCCTCACACTTGCCCAGACCCCGCCGTGCCGCTGCCATCGCCTCGTCCCGCTGACGCAGCTGCAGCAGCGCGCGGCTCTTCCGCAGCAGTGCTTTGGCTGCTGGCCGGCCGCTGGGCTGCAGCGCTAGTGCCTGGTCACAGTCCATGACGGCGGCCTCGTAGTGGCGCGAGAGGGCACCTTCAGAGCCATGGTCAACGCCCTCCAGGTGTCCGGTGGTGTCGGCGTCGCCTGCGGGTGGATGATTAAGTCGCAGGTGAAAACATGGGTTCAAATCGAGGGTTCAAATCGAAAATCTCCAACTCAACTGCGAAATACATTTGGGCCAACATCACGAGGACCTCTTAGGACGCAACGTCATCAACAACACATGCATCATTATGCGTGTATATATATATGTGTGTATGTGTGCGCTTGCAAGGGATGATGTGTTAGGAGCAATAATACAGACAGTTTAAAAATAATGTCACACAAATACGCGAGCAGCGTGGTCCAATGTCCCTCCTGTCTGTCCACCGGGGCGCGGGGCCGAAAGGGCAGCAGGAGAGGGTAACGGTTACAGGCTAGCGAACGCCCATCGATGGCGAATGCGATCACAATCGATCCAGAAAGAACACCGTTAGTGGCAGTGCCGTCCGCGTAATCCAAAAATTGTATAGGTCATGAAAGGCCCCTCTAGGTGCTAGGGCGAATCCCGCGCCACGGCCCGGACCGCACCTAGCAACCAGATTCACTCCCCTGGCCTGCAGCACTACTAAGGGGACACCCCCGAAGCACCCCCCGAAGCATGGCCCAAAAACCCAAGGGGGCCAGGATAATGGTTCATCATTAAGCTGGCAGCACTAGGTGCTAGCGCGCTCCCTCCCAGGTCCCCGCCCTCCACGGCACGTGCCACGACGAGCTGTGTCCCACCTTCCCGTAACTTCCCCGAGGCCGCCCGGGCCATGTAGGCTGCGGCACGGTTGGCATGGTAGGCCGCCCTGCGGGGCCCCTCTGTCAGCAGCCGTTCCGCTGGCACGAGCACGTCTAGTGCAGCGCTGTACAGCTGGATAGCCAGTGAGTAGTCGCCACGCCTGGTGTGCCGAGGGGGAAGGGTTGTGGGGATACGGGTTCAGGCGAGTTGGAAGCATTTTGGGGGAAGCAGATTTGGAGGCAAAATATGCGAAGGAAGTGGGTGGCGACCATCGCCACAGACGCACCTGGTCAAGATTTACTCATTAATTAGACATATTTACGTAACGAGGTAACGAGGGGTAATTAAGAGGTAATTAGACATATTTACTTAAGAGGCCGCATTCGGGGTCCTATCTCCGCGGGAACGACCCGCAGGTCTTCACCACAGTGGCACAAGGGCAAAAGGGGCCCCTAAGAATCGTGTGGTGGTCAGGTGGACGACAATGCACATCGGACAGCTGCCGCGCAGGTACACTCCGACACGCACACACGGCTGCACGACTTACAACTATACAACGTATGACCCCAGCGCCGGTCTCACAGCCGTCCAACTCTCCCCCAAGCGACTCACCCATACACCCATACACACGCACACACACCTGTACGCCTCGTTGCCCTGCTCCTTGAGCACTTCCGCTTCGTTGTCAGTCGAGGGACCGCTGTTGATCTCCGTGCGCTCTGACACCACGGATACGACCTGCGGTCAGTTCGACAACCAAAAGTTAAACCCGTGCAAGGGGACAGCCAAGGCGAACAAGGGAGCGGCGGAGGCGCCGAGAGGCGGAGGCAGGTGGGCAACGGCAGTGATGGTGGTCGCGGTGGGCGCCGCGATAGTGGGTCTCTGTGTGTAGGACATAGGTGGGGATGGCCAGGGTGAGAAAAGCAAGTCGCATATGCCGGCATGCGCACAGGACTTCCGAACACCACTAGCGGCCGTTCGTCTTTCACATGGGATGCAAAAGTAGTAGAGTACAGGGGCATCTTGCGATGAGTCAAGAGATACGCCACAGCACAAGTCTGCCCCAATAGCCCAACGAAAGGCGCCGTTGGGCCCGTTACCCCGTTTTCCCGCAGCCCAACAGCCCACCCTACCGGCTCATCGTCGGCAGTAAGGCCCCCAAGGTGGTGCTGATGCACCGGTAAAGTACTCGTGCTGGTCGCGGAGGCGTCGCCGCTGTTGGCCAGGGATGGAGGCTCCTGCGCGGGCGGGAACCTGCACAGCCGTTCCCGGTGCGGAGCATGAACACTTAAATTCCATGCATATAGGCAAACACAGTTTAAATGTAACATTACATAAACGAAATGCGTTAAATGGGTGAAGGTACGGCCAGCCGGACGGCACAGTTGCACGGTGAGGGACGTAAGCGGCCAATCGGAAAGCTGTACTGAAGAAGATTGCAAGATAGGGACCGGGCCGTACCCCACCCTCCTTCCGGACACCTGCTAAAGTCTCTGTGTAGCGCTGCCGCCAGCTCTCGCTCCTCCGCCGTCACCTGCTCGTCAGCAGACCACTGATGCAGCAGCGACAGCAAGGAGACGCTCAGAGACAGTCGCCCGTCCTGCGGAGGATTAGGCGGATTGGGAGGGGAGATCACCAGAAGAAGTACAATTTACTTCGACACGTTCAGTTTACAGCGGGCGGCAGGAGGTGCGTCAAAAAGGACACGCACATCGCAAGAGCGGAGTTATGTGAAGAGGGGCGAATCATGCAGTTCGGAAAGGCGAACCGCAGGATGGACGCATGAGGTCAACCGGCGCCGCAAAAGGGATGGCCTCTGTGGCTGTGACAGGACAGAGTAAAGAGATGGACCCGTGGGTCAGTCCGCAGAAGAGAGTTCATTGTTCATACCGACCCGGCGCGTAGCTGTCGGTCGGTCGGTCGGTCGGTTGGCGCGGCGCACCTGCGTAAAGTGCTTGCGCATCCAGGACACGTAGAACGCAAAGAGCCGCAGCGCCATGTAGGAGGCACCTGGGAAAGCGGGCGGCTGGCGGTAGTGGGCGAGTAGGTTCGGCAGGAACACGCCACCGCGACTCAGATCAAACCTGTCCAGCATCGGGGGATGATGGGCGGTAGGAGATCGACGCGGTGTTGGCATGAGAGTTCGGGAAAGGATCAAGAGCCAGGATCCAAACACGACTGGGTTGTTTCCCGCCTCGGTGGCAGCCGGGACAGCATGAGGAGCACCAGGTCTGGATGGGAATGGCTGGTTTTAGGCCGCCATGCAAGCGAGCGGGTGGGCGTGACCCTTCCTTACAGATTCTCCCGTTTCCCTCTCCCCTCTCACATGTTCCTCCAGACACGTGCGTAAGGTCCCTGCCGGGGCCCCCGGCCGTCCGGGGTGGGCGGGGGGTCATGCCAGGGGAACAGCAGGCCCTCGTCCGTGATGTGCAGCAGCGCGGACATGGCTTGACTGGCCAGGTAGGGGTTGGTGTGCGCCAGCACGGCCGCGAGCTGCCTAGAGGCCCGGGCGGGAAGGGGCGGATTAAGGGCAAGCTGAGAAGGGAAAACCTAGTCGGCCGTGTAGCTCAGGCTCGAGACCCCAACCCCCGAGCAACACCGCAAAGAGACATCTGCTCTTCCATGTTCGGTAGTCCTCTAGGCAGCTACCAGCAGGGGCAGCAAGGCACGACCACGGCCTTGCTCGGACTATGCACGTGCCCTGCCCATGTGCATGTTGGGACCCAAACCGTCCACAAAAGGACAAGTGATCTAGTTATCGTGTTAACCCTAACCCGTCGCGTCAAGGTCTGTGTTCTCCAGACCCTGCCAGGCCTCGCTCCAGGTCCGTGCTTTCCCCCGGGGTAACCCCCAGCCGCCGCACGCTCCCGAACTGCTGTCGGCCAGACCTTTCCCCCTTCCCATCACCAGATGACTGACCCATTTGGTGTAAATGGTCCCGCTATGCGACACCACCCGGCCGCACCTGAGCCCGCCTGCCTCTACGAAGGGGCGCACCAGCTCCCAGCTTTTGCTGTGCACCAGGTACAAGGACGCCAACGCGCACACCTGCATGCGGGCCGCGAAGGCGGGGAGGAGGAAGAGGGCGGAAATGGATAGGGAGCTGGTTGGGAAGGCGGTAGAAAGATGTGAGGAAGGGCTAGGGCGCCCGCTACAACTCGGCACGAACACGTCCAAAGGCTTCCCTGCTCCCTGCTCCCTGACCAGGAACTGCATTCCTGCGCTCTTGGGCGCATGGTCTTATTTGCGGTTTGCGTCCGGGGAACGGCGCCAGAATGTAGGCCCATGGCCGAGGTCGCTCTTAGCGCCATCCTCGCCGAATTCAGGATTATACCACTGCTGCGTACCGCTCCAAAAACCACGTCGTTGTGCACATTAGAAATAGCCGCATACCGCCAAGGCCAATGAACATTAGAATCGGAATTACAAATGTATGTATGTATGTATGTATGACGCCGGACCTCCCAACCCATGCCGGTCCAGAGGGTAGGTCGCGACACACCAAGTCCTGCGGCCCGGATTCCCACACCTCGGTGCTGCTAAGGCTGAGCGTTAGTGATGGAGGAAGAACGGGAAGCGACCCGGGTATCAGTTTGCCTGCAGGGATCCAAACCCCGCATCTCCCTTTCGGTCGCCCTCACCTGCACTTTCTGCTGCGGATGGGTGTCCGGTGCGCCAGAGGGCGGCATGGCGATAAGGGCCGGATATAGCCGCATGTCATCCTCATCGGGGTCGAACAGCATCTGCCGCGCCTGCCGCACCATTCCAGGGCCACAGGGCCGTGTGAGTTTGGTATAAAAATCAGTGAATGGGAAGGCGTTACTATGACGTCTACAGTCTCACCGTACTCAGGGCATAACGATGATATACGTATGGGCGAAAGAGCAGTCAAAATCCTATGACGCAAGGCCGCGGCAAATCCTGGACTGCGTGCAAGTTTGCCCAATAGAAACCTACGTTGGTGTGGAATTGATTACACATGTGGCCTACCAGACTAACGCTATGGAAACTTTATGAAAAGGTGGCGAGGATTTTCAAAATTGCAGCCCCGTGGGTCTGCTCAGCCACATGGTTACGTCTCACCTTGCTTAGCGGAACATGACGACCAAGACAAACCGCAATCTCATCTACAGGTGGCTTCTCATAGCGCTTCTTGAGTCCTGCCTTCAGCTGCTCGGAAATATCCGGTGGACTTTCTTGCAGGGCGACCGCCAAAAACTTCTTAAATTCCTTATATGAGGAAGTAGAATCTGATAAGACAACAACCATTTCTGTCTTAGGACTGGAACAATGGTGATCCGGTGGGCTCGAAGCTTCTCAAGCGCGCGGGTTGAAAGTCTTGTTTGCCTCTGCCACTTAGCTGAGTCTCATTATCAATTGTAATATAGAAAAACCACTTTTAAATTCAAATTATTTGCAACATTGCAAATGAAATGGTGATTCCCTTTTTACGTGAGAATAGACTTTTGTTACAATCCTCAGTACGTGGGAGATGATACACTGTGCCCACCTAAGCACATGTTGCTATGCAGAAATGGGACTTTAGTTGCCTGGAGGGCTTTACGTCGGATCTAACGAAACTCAAAAAATTACATCATGATGCACGTAAAGTACGTACGACGTCACAGATTGCCCAGACTGCCTGATCTTTTACCATGCAGCAAAACTTCCGCTCTTTCCTCAGCGCTGTGCACCTTCAACCCTCATCTTCAACCAACTTAAGTAAAGATGCAGTCGCTGAAGGCGAAGACGGTTCAGGCCCAGCGCCCCTTCACTGCGCAGCGCCCTCGCGCTGTTCGCGGTAGCGTCTCCGTTCGCGCCGTTGCCGCTCCGCCACGGCTAATTACGAAGCGCTCCGAGGAGGTGGGATTAGCCAAGATCCATGATAATCAGCTTTTGCCCTGATGTTCCTATAAATTTAGTCTAGGCTAATACAGGATCGCAAATCGGTTTTCCCATTTTTATTTTATCTTTTAGATTTTCAAGGAGGCCCAGGAGCTTTTGCCAGGCGGTGTCAACTCGCCTGTGCGTGCATTCCGTTCCGTGGGTGGCGGCCCCATTGTCTTCGATCGCGTTAAGGGCGCCTACTGCTATGATGTCGATGGCAACAAGTACATCGACTATGTTGGCAGCTGGGGTCCGGCTATCGTTGGCCATGCTAATGATGAGGTCAACGAAGCCCTCAAGGCACAAATCGAGAAGGGTACCAGCTTCGGCGCGCCCTGCGAGCTGGAGGTGCGGTTCTCTTGCCACGAAGTTAAAACACATAATCCTGATTTGTTTCGAAGCTAGTCCTCCATTTTAAAAGCGGGTGTCGTGTGTACTAACCTGTTCCTCTCGTGCGAGCTCCCGCTGTTTGGATCGGGTTACCTTGTCATTTTGGCATTCTCTTTTGTGATCAGTGGGAGCCATTAAGTGATTTTCGTCGCGTGGGGAAACCTGTTTGCCCTCGTCGAGCGGGTCTTCCCCCTGGTAGCTCCCGGGTGTGAGAAGCACATGGCCAAGGCACGAAGGCTTTCACCAGGCGTGAAATCACGTATTACCAAGATTCACAATTCGGGACTCGCATATTTATCACCGCAGCAGGCCCGGATTTGGATGTTGTCAGTCAGCTGGCTATGGAGTGTGCTTCGTTGTGCTGCGAGCGGCCTATAATGAGGGCGGTCGATCCGACTTGGGTTGGGTATGGGAATTTGTCTGATTTTGTTGGGTTCGTCCACGGCCTATCACTGAATCGACCAGGCTTGCTCTATCCCTCGCTCAACATGATAAGCCTATCGTATTGGGGTTCGTTATGCCCACCGCTTATTGTGTACAAATACATCTTTCCCGAGAGCTCCCTCCCCGTTGTTTGTGGCGCGTCTGGGCGGTTGTTATTGTACTCACGTGATTAGAGGGCCGTGTGGTTGGTCGCTTTGACGTTTGCCGCAATCCAAAAATGTTGTATGCACCCGTTCGCGCGTGGCTGTGCAGAACGTCCTGGCCAAGATGGTAATCGACCGCGTGCCGTCCGTGGAGATGGTCCGCTTCGTGTCCTCTGGCACGGAGGCGTGCCTGTCGGTGCTGCGCCTAATGCGCGCTTACACTGGCCGCGAGAAGATCATTAAATTCACTGGCTGCTACCATGGCCACGCCGACTCCTTCTTGGTGAAGGCTGGATCCGGTGTCATTACCTTGGGCCTGCCAGACAGCCCTGGTGTGCCCAAGAGCACCGCCGCCGCCACGCTGACAGCCACGTACAACGACCTGGCGTCGGTCCGGGAGCTGTTCGCGGCCAACAAGGGCGAGATTGCTGGTTTGATTTTGGAGCCGGTTGTGGGCAACAGCGGCTTCATTGTGCCGACCAAGGAGTTCCTGCAGGGGTTGAGGGACATTTGCACGGCGGAGGGAGCTGTGCTGTGCTTCGATGAGGTCATGACAGGCTTCCGCATTGCTAAGGTGAGTGACACATCGGCCCTGCGATTTGGAAGTCCTATTTCATACCTCCCGATTGAAAAGGGCTGTCCTGGTCGAGATGCAGCTGACATGATCGCGTACTTGGTGGACGGCTACTGGGCCATGGCATGTTTTACATGGGATATGTCCTTGACGATGCCTACCTAGGTCCCCGTATTCATTTCCATATTTAGTTGCACAGACGAGACCCTGTGTCCATCAGACCATGGCTAAGGATTCCATTGCAATAGATTATGGAAACAGGCTGGAAAAGCAAAGTATCCTGCTTCTGTAAAGTGGCTAATGTTTTCGGCAAATGTCTCGTGTCATACATGCGCTGGTTCATGAGGAGGTCCATGTGAGAGCCTGCCTGTGGTAGGGATAGCTAGCTTGTATATTTGCGGCTGGCCGAGTTGCGATGTGTGCTCCAACGCCACGTGGCTGGCGTACGACGTTTGATCGGTATTGTTTTACGAGCTGCAGCAGGCATCTGCGCAAATTTTCATACTTCATCAAATTCCCATTCGTAAGTTGATCGAATCAACCTACAAATGGGAATGAGATGAAGTAAGTGGTTAACTTGATTGCGGTTGACTAGAATCGATACGCTTGGTTTGCAGGGCTGTGCCCAGGAGTACTTCGGTATTACGCCCGACTTGACTACTATGGGCAAGGTCATCGGCGGTGGCCTGCCTGTCGGCGCGTACGGCGGCAAGAAGGAGATAATGAAGATGGTGGCACCCGCGGGCCCCATGTACCAGGCCGGTACCCTGTCGGGCAACCCGATGGCCATGACTGCGGGTGAGGTTTGGATAGGGATTCGGCCTCTTGCGGGTGTGTTTGTAGTACGGCTCACAGGTCGACACACCGGAGTTCGCAGTACTTCTGTGACGTGGAAAATTGCGTAAGCCTCCTTTGACCAGTATTTTACTACTAAATCCCATGTGTGGAGGGCATTTGCGTTGCATCTGTTTTGTGTGCCGTGTGCTAGTTTGAGCCTGTCCTACTACCTAATTGCATTTAGGCATCAAGACGCTTGAGATTCTGGGCCGCCCGGGCGCCTACGAGTACCTGGAGAAGATCACCGAGCGCCTCATTGACGGCATCATGGCGGCTGCCAAGGAGCACGGCCACGAGATCACCGGTGGAAACATCAGTGGTGAGCGCTTGGTTGCATTGGTGGTTGCCCAGCACTATGAGGACGCGTGCGATGTGGGTTGGTTTTTGCCTGGCGGATCTAATGGTGCAGATCCTGGCCGTGAGTGCCGATACCTCTTCTTGACCTATTCTGGCAATCTGCTGCAGGCATGTTCGGCTTCTTCTTCTGCAAGGGGCCGGTGTCCTGCTTTGAGGACGCCCTTGCTGCTGATACGGCCAAGTTCGCACGCTTCCACCGTGCCATGCTTGAGGAGGGCGTATACCTCGCGCCATCACAGTTTGAGGCCGGCTTCACGAGCTTGGCGCATACCGATGCGGACGTGGATGCCACAATTGCTGCCGCTCGCCGCGCCTTCGCACGCATCTAAAGCAGCAACAGCAGTAACACGAAGGCCTTTTCCTTTGGGGAATGTGGGGATGCATGGGAGGAGCGGCCAGCTTGGTGCAGCTTTGCTTAGCTTCGTGCTTGGGAGTCGAGTGCTCTTGCGTATATGGAGTGAAGTCCGTTGCGCAGCGAAACTGGGTTGCCGTGCTGTTAATTGGTACTGATTGGTGCTTGTGCATTGAACGCCGCGAGCATGTGTGGTTGTTATGCAGGCGCCAAAGCACGCAGGCGCTCTATGGTAATGCGTGGCCCGAGGACGTCGTCTGGCCACTACCTACCTAGACCGGACCGACCGTGCATGACAGGGTTAACCAGCGTGTAGTCTTTGGGGATGCGTTCTGGCTGTGATGCGCGATTGCCGATTGGCTGCGGCCAGTTGTCGCGTTGGGTTATGAAGGGTGCAAAGCGAGGGTGCATGTGGCCCGTGCAAGTGCTGCTGGGTTCAGACACGCTACCGCTTGGGTTTAGGGATTGTTCCTTAGGTAGGGGCTGCCGAAAGCGCTTCTTCGGGCTGGCCATCGTTAGGACCGGGTCTTGGGACTACTGCGATTGAGAGGATTGGTACGTTGGCCTATTTCCAACAACTAGGTTAGGCTATTGTAACAAACGCCTTTTCGGCAGGCAGTAATCGGGACGGGACGGGAGTGAAGCCATCTTAACGCTGTGTCATGCATAAAATTAGTTCGTGTGTGTTCGTGTTACATGATCGGCATACCCCGTACCAGTAAAACGCCCAATACGAGCCGAGGGCTCAAGGGCTGCCAGATCGCCTAAAAGCACCATCCTACCTCGCAGACAAAGCAAGCGATAAAAGAGACTAATGACCAAAGGGAACGACAAAGTTGCGGTGGGACCACATACTTCCCAGCATCTTCGCCAGATGTTCAGGTTCCCACATCATAGCGTCACTTCGCCGTACACCGGACAGTCAAGCAAGATGTGCTTCTTATCTGCAATATGACTATCAGTGCATGGCTCCCACATGTCAGGCTTACGGCATCCAGTCAAACCCATGGAAGCCTAGGCTATCCAACTCCAAAAAAATTGAAACAATATTGCACGTGTCCAGAATGAAAAGATCAACATGTTGATATAAAATTCATTTCTGGATTCTGAATTAAGTTCTGACCTGGTTACCCTTTGGGTTTTAGGTCCATGGCTCCCACACGTTAGGCTTACAGTCATCCAGTCAAACTCATCGAAGCCTGCACCATACCCCACTTCCCGTTGGTCAGCCAGTCCGGGTCGGCCGCACTAAGCTGCTCGCTCTGTCCCTTCTTGAGACCCACCACAACATCCGCCTTGAGAGTCCGCAGGGCCACCAGCGGGGCAGGGTGGAAGCCCTGCAGGGAAAAGGCACAGGGGTGCATAAAAAGTAGTGCAGATGTCAGGATAGAAGAGGAGGAGCCTAAACGTAGTCCTATAAGTGTTCCCCGAGGGTGGAGAAACGGGAGAAAAATTCGTCTCATCGCAACAGCAGCAGTAGCAGTAGCAAAAGCCGCGGCAGTAATAGGAGGGCCCCAGGTACGAGCCATGGCCGCTTCCTGAGCAGGTGCTCAACATACATTTGCGAACAAGGGCCGGGGATGGAGAGGAGGGGCCGGCAACAGGAGCAGCTCTCAACTACCTTTCCCCCACCGGCCCACCTGGAGAGCCTCACGGAGCGGTGTTGTGTGCGGCCACCTGCTTGGGGGCGTGTGTGGGTGTAGGTGGGTGTGGAGAAGCAGGTCTTAAAAGAACGGAGGGGAAGGGGAGGGATTCCTTGAGCCGGACGAGGCCCATTTCCCCCCCGCCTCCTCCCCCCCCCGGGCCCCCCGGGTCCCAGGTGAGTCCAAAGGGTGGTTCGAGCTTCTTTGGTATATCGCGTTGGCGTCGGTAGGCTAGCCGGAATAGAATAGTCGGGTCGGTCGGGTCGGTCGCGCGTTTTAGTTTTTTTGGGGGGGTTGGGAGGAGCACTTGCATACCGACAGCCTTTCAGTATCAGCAAATCAGCTTTTTTCTCCAGGCCAGCAACTTTAGGCCACCTTTACGACAGCACTATTTTACTCGCCGCCTTCACTACTACTTTTCTACACCTACTTCTTTACGGATTGGCTATACTATTCAGCTTTTTAATTCTGGCGGCTTAGGTAGGTAGGATTTCCGACATCAACGTCACTTCGTCATCCCGAGGTCACAGTCGTCACAGTCGCCACGGACGCCTTTCGGTCAGTTTTTACGTTTGCTACTCTCTTGCCCTGGCAGCAGCTTTAATCGTGTGTGGTTCGTCTTTCCCCCCGGGTCCTACCAGCCCTGACAACCCCAAAGTATGTAGGACATGGGCCGGAACGAGCAGTCTTTTATTAAGTGAGGGCCGTGCGGGGCACAGCGCTGGCTCCCGTAACTGCAGGCACGGCATCCTGCCGCACCTCCATCCCCCATCCCCGTGCGGCGGCCCGTTATAGACATGAACAAAGACACAGAGACAAAGCGCATACGCACACATACCCACACATTCGCACAAGCACATGACCTACTAGTGTCGACGACTATGTTATTAAAGTTAATAATGAGCCGAGTGGGACATCTTTCCTTTCGTTTACTCCATACGCGCCTATGACCTGCCCCAGCATCGTTTTGTCTGCTTTCCAAAAACTTAAATGTTCTTCCTAGGAATGCAACGAGGAATACAAGAACACACCGTCTACACACGCGCCCAAGTCAAAGACTCAACCTGCAATCGTGCGTCAGTTTCCGGTAGTTCAGGTCGCCTTTGAACACCAGCAGGTCGCTACCAGACAAGCTGTCGTACAGGTCCGGCGCCGCCGCCGCCATCCAGCAGAACGGTGCCGGCGTGCACCAAAACGGGTGCGCCTCCCACCGCCACCGACCCGCCGCCAAATGCCCGCGCCATCGCGCCGCAGCGCGCCGTACCGCCTGCCAGGCATCCGAAGAAACCTGCGAGAAATCGGAAATGTACCCTCGCCATCAAGCTTGCTTGCTAGTGGGCTGGTGCGGGCTGGGATGGCAACATGGCAACAGGGCAGGGCAGGGCGCGGTGTGATGAGGCGAGGTGAGGGTCGCCTCAAGGATGTCTAGCGGGTCCAGCTTCAAGGCTAGTCATACCCACACTCGCCGAAGGCGGCTCCGCGGCCTCACAGCTCCTCAGGAGGGCCTCCAGGTCAGCAGAGACCGTGTCGGACACGAACCAGGGGATGAGCTTGCCGTGGAGAACCACCCGCCCCCTTACACCTGCAAACATGTACGAATGAAAACAAACAACAACATCAACGATGGTGATAAAAGGAAAAAGAGACATTCGGACATGCATCCTGGCAGCCTACGCAACACACGCCGAACAAAAGCTCACACATGGTGGAAGGAAAACTCGTACACGTGTCGTACATGTACCTGCTGACACCAGGAGGTCCGCCAGGCATAAGTCAGCGAACAACTCCAGACCGCTGTTGTCCAAAACGATATCCACACGAATCCCGTCGCCGTCACCCTCATTAGCATCATCATCATCATCATCACCGCCGCCGACGACGACACTGCTAGTGCCCGCGGCAGCAGCGCGCCTGGCGATCAGGCGCTCGATGACCTCCCAAACCGCGGCGGTGTCGTCCACGATGACCCGCGATGAAGGCGGTGGCGGCGGCGGCGGCGGCGGTGAAGCCGTCGCTGCCGGCATTGCGGTGCATGTGTCGTCGTACCGGTCCAGTGATGCCGATGGCGGCGGCGGTGCTGCCGCCGCCGCCAGCGCCAGCGCGTCCAGGCCTGCCGCATTCACCATCAGCGACAGGTCGGCCTTGTTGCCCCACAGTGCCATGGACAGGCCCGCAAGTACCGCAGCCCGAGCAGCCGCTGCCGGCGGTGGAAGTGTCCCCCCGGTCTGGGTCGCTGTTGCAGTTGCCGGGGATTCCGACGACGACGGCAGCTGCGGTGGTTGCGGCGGCGGAGCCTCACCGCCGTGTTGCATGAGGCCGTATCGCAACAGCTCCACCTCCGCCGCCATGTCGGCTGCGGCAGCGGCGGACTTGACCCAGGCGGCGGCCTTCTGGCGACTGAAAGGATCGTAACCTGCAAACACCGCCTGGCGCTGGGGCAGCCGTTGCCAGAAAAAAGGGGGAGGTGAAAATTCATACGATGATGATTAATGATGATAATAATAACGATGTAAGAACCAAGGAATCCGCGGCCGAGGTCCGCCGGGGTAAGGAGGGGCGCCATGCCATCATACGCCATTTTTCATTCCATGCCCTGATCGTGCAGGATGCAGAATGGTGTTGGTGTTGGTGGTGTATGCTGTGACTGGTTGGTGAAGAGGTGGTCAAGGTGGAAACTGCAAGTGTTACAGCTCCCCGGGGGTTACAGCCCCCGTGAACACCCAACCAGGTTGCTGCTCTGTTACTGCAACAGCTGCTACTGCTACTGCGACAGCTGTCATTGCTATTGCACCATCTACTCCCGCCCGGCCCCACACTGGCCGTTAAAGTGGAGGCGGCAGTGGTGGTGGTAGCGGTGGTGATGTGTTGCTCAACTGTCCCAGTCCCGCGTGGGTCTGGCCATGGCGTGTTTCATAAACCCCCCAACAGCCCGGCTTGTCATGAGGTCTACTGTTCACTGGCCGACAGGGGGCCCCACTGCCTAAGTAAATTCCCTTCGGCCATTTCCCGCCTTTTCCTGCCCCACGTACACATACATACATACATACTCGGAATACTCACCTGCAGAGCCGCATGTATCGCCGCGTACATGTAGCACTCAACCACCAGCCACGGCAGCGCCAACCAGGTGGGAGCTGGAGGACCCGCACCACCCCCAGTACTAACACCAGTACTAACACCAGTACTAACACCAGTACTAACACCAGTACTAACACCAGTACTAACACCAGTACTAACACCAGTACTAACACCAGTACTAACACCAGTACTAACACCAGTACTAACACCAGTACTACCAGTACCAGTACCAGTACCAGACGCCACCGCGCTAGGCACTGCATCTGGCCCAGACTGCCCCCTTGAAATGCCTCCTGAAGCCCTCACGTCCTCCCCCTCAGAGCAGCCCTCCTCCTCTTCCTTATGCTGCTGCTGCTGCTGCCAGCGAGCTGCCGCCAGCTGCACGCACTCATTGGCGGACTCCAGCAGCAGCTAGGGGGCCAGGAGGCGGGAGGGAGGGAGCGGGGGAGCGGGGCGTATGAGGGCCATGTGGGTTGGCACTGCGGAGTGTGGACTAGGTCTGGTTGCTGGACCGCCAGTACGGCATGATGTGGGTTAGAGTAGTGAGGGGGAGGGATGCTGCATGTTGGCAACATCTGGGAGCTGCTCCACAGAACAGCGCAGCACAGCACAGCGACGCCATCTTGTACACATACTCCCCTCCCCTCCCCTCCCCTCCCCTCCTCTACTTGGGTAGGAGGTCCCTGCAGGGCGGACCACAGCTATTCACTCTACCAACCACTCAACCCAACTACATCCCCCGCTCCAGCCTTGGAATGCCTTAGCGCCACATGCCAGGTGTCAGCGTTCCCTGTGTGCCCTCCTGCATCCCTGGAAGAATTCACTCCACCAGCACCCCACCGGAACTCCACCAACGCCACGTCAACACCTCACGCACGCACCCGCCCACCCCCCGACCCTGCACCCCGCACCCCGCCACCAGGCTGGCAGCAGCAGCCCGATTTGAGCATCTGCCAACACTGGCGGCAGCAGTGACAGTGAAAGTGGGAGTAAGCTCTCACACACTGCCTTCCCAGGTGCACCCCCTCACCCCCTCATCCCCTCACCCCCTCACCCCCTCACCCCCTCACCTCCTCACCTCCTCACTCACCTCACCTCCTCACTCACCTCACCTCCTCATCCCCTCACCTCCTCACCCACTCATCCCCTCACCCCCACTTATCCCCTCAACCCCACTCATCCCCTCACCCGCGTGTCCTCCGAAGCCCCCGCCACGTGAAGCGGCTCCAGGGGGCCGTCCGCCGGCATGGAGAGCCGCAGGCCCCGGAGCTCGGCCAAAGCAGCGGCGGCCTGTGAGGTGCCAAGAGGGGCCCACATAGAAGTCGCAATTCATCCCAAATGTACGACAATGGGCCAAATGTACGACAACATGGGGCACATACTGGCTGCATGTCTTCGGAAAAAAGGGGGCTGGATCTGCACTGGACCAGTGGACATCACGCCAGGAGGAACTGGCAGAACGCCCGTCAGTCGTTTATGACCAAGGCCCCAAGGCCCCAACTGCCGTCGGTCGTACGGTGTAATCAACTTTCAATATATATAGTCCATGGCCTCCCGGCTTTGACGGACCCCCCCCCCACTCGTGCGGCACTTGTAACTTGTAACTGCACTGCCATGGGTTTCAATCCCCCCTATCACACCCCAACAAGTACCCCAACGCAAATTCAAATACAGGGCTCTGCTTTATCTATGATGCAGGCAATGTAGGCGATGTATGCAGGTAGGCGATCACGTCGGGTGCTAGGTCTAGCCAGGCGCCCTGCTGCTAGCCACCTGCGCTGCCGCCACCCCAGACCAGTCCAGTGGGTCCTCCGAGGCCCGCAAGGAGACATCCTCCTCCAAGTCCCGGATCATGGAATCCAAAATGGCCGGAAGACGGGTGGTGATGGTGGTGTGAGCGAAGGAACCGGTCTCGGAGCCGACGAGGGCAGGGTATGGTGGTGGCGGCAGTAGCTGCCCAGCTGTTGCGCCGCCGGCGCGCAGCCGTGCAGGCATTCCTGCAGGGCCATCCCCTCCTGTGCCTACTGCTGCTGATACGGCTGCTGCTGCTGCTGCTGTTGTTGTTGTCAATGGTGATAGTGGTGGCGATGCCGCGCCAGCGGTGGTCATTGCAGTATTGGTTCCAGTGGGCATGAGCGAAGCGGCGACAGAAGGTTTGGAGAGACGGTGTGTTGATGAAGGGGGACGTGTTGACGCGGGATGAGATGATGCCGGTTGTCCGTACCGTCGGTGGTATGCCCGCGCCGTGGGAGTTGCCCCGGGAGCGGGACTGGGACACAGGCGCACACCGTAACGCGGGAAGAAGGGCGCGGGCAGGCCGCCTGCCAACGGAGATCCGGCACACGGGGACCGGAGGTGCAGCCGGCGGGGGTGGATAAGCGAAACTGTGGCCTGAGCTGTAGCTGTTGGTTTCAGAGCTACTGCCGATACTGGTGCCAGTTCTGGCCTTGCGGATGTTGAGACTCGGGGTCTTGGTGGAAATTGTGGCAGTAGCGCTAGCGCTCGACTCACAGCACCCAGTACTGCTGCTGGCGTGAGTTTGAGTTTGCTGTTTTCTGCCACGGGGGAGGGGACGGAGGCGGCGACACGGCTGGAATGCGGGACGGGTACAGTAACGCGGCTGCTGACCTGCGGGCCACAGCAATGTAATATCGGGTATATCGGGCCACATACGCGTCTCAGTCTGAGTTCCGCCAACAAGAGGATTCGCGAAGGATCCATACAAACCCCCCGAGGAGGTTTCGGAGCCTGACAGACTGGGCCGAGGGGTCAGCGGGTCATGGAATGTTCCGCGCGATAGCTCCGAAGGAAAGGCGGGAGGGAGCCAGTGCGAGTGTGGACCAGCGGAGGTGTATGTGACATATACACACGAATACATACAGATGCACATACATACATATATACATACATACAAACGCAACGTGGGGACCAGGTCTTGTTGCCGGGTATATAGCCAGGGAGTTTGGAGGATATGTGTATGATAAGCGAACAACAAGTGACGATGCCGATACGGATGCGACCCAAATGCGAGTGCCAAAGCTCCCACAGGTGGAAGAGGATGTCGCGGCCCGCGGGTATTGGGGAGGAGTTGGATGTGAGGGGATGCATGCAACATAAAGGGTGGCTGCCACGCGGTATGGGGGGACTCCCGACGGGAGCCGCGAGGTGCGGGAGCACTGCCTGCGTGTGTCTCTCACTATTGCACTGGCCAGTCTACCGTACCGCCGCGGAATGAGCGTACAACCGAAGGACAACGTGTAAAGACTATATGTGGCAAATAATTGTTCGCTTCAGGAGGCTTCATGGAACGATTATGTGAAGGCGGTAGCGCAGGATGGGCAAAGGGTTTCTTCATTATGTGCGTCCACTGCTAGTGGTAGCAGTACCGTACTATCGGTGCGGGTGACAAGGCTTTCGAGGTATCTTCCCGCAGATGTAGGCCCTGGCCATAGGGATGAATGTCAATGCGGGACGGCTTGGCAACGCAACGCACATCACTCTCACTCTAAGAGCCCGGGTAGGGTCCATTCGACAGTCTGGAGATGCAGGCGTGTGGTTTCGATGCAAACCTATAATTGCTGATGACGCAGCACATCACGCACATGGTAGGGAATATTCGCAGGGCTTGGAATGCAAAGTTTGACGCACCTGTGCAATCCTCAGGGCCATTTACCGATAGCACCTTCACGTCCGCGTCAATGGTGCCCAATTTGGCAAGAACGTCTTATCTTCACCTCAACTTCAAATATGGCTACCGCCATCTCGGAATGGTAACGAATTAGCTGGGCGGTGGCGCAACACGATTGTGCGAAGCGTTGTGAGAGGCCGTACACACCTGTCGGTTTGCCCTTTTTCGATCTAGTTCCGCAACACACATTTACACATCGGCCGCTAATTACCCTGCCCTTTACAGGATTATATGGGGCAGATGTAGCGGCCGGGAACTTCGTGTAAACTATAAGCCTGTTGCGTTACGGCCAATAACGCCATAGGTGTCGCCGCAATGGCAACACAGGTAGCCATGCCATTGCCTAATGTGGATTATTCGTTAGCGCTAGGCAACAGCTTTGCACTTGAAGCTGGAGAGGAAGTTGGGACATCTTACGCAGCTCTTCGTTATGATTTTCGCCCAGCAAGCGCAGACATCGAACAACCGGGTGTTCTTGTGCTGGCTAGAGATAACAGGGTAGGTCCAAGGGTGGCGACAAGACACTGGTAACGTGTGACAAATTGCTATGCTTGCGACTTTCTTGACGTGCTATCCGCACATCTTCCCTTTACCTTACGATGTGTTAGTAATCATCTCTGCTATATTCTTACACATTTGGCACGCGCACCTTGCTGCGACTGCAGGTCCTTAAATGACAGCCCCTCTGTCTGACGCTCAGCTAAGCAGCCTCTGCTCCCTTCTTATACTTCTCTAAGGTCTAATTTCTCCTTGCTACGTTTCGGACCTTGAACCGCATCCATCTTTCTGGACGCACCATGCTCTCCTCTCCACATCATCGCTTCTGTCTATCTGCGGTCACCGGTCACATGCCCCACTAACCGCCCGCGCATGTCACGCTCTCCTCTCCTCCTCCCTCCCATCTTTGCGCAATAGGTTTCCCTCTACCTCGCAAACTCAGCCACGTGCGAGCTGGATGTGCTGCTGTCCGGCAAGTACGAGCCGTACGCAGGTGGCGGGCCCCCGACCAGTACAACACATGGCCGAGACTGTTTGGACTGTGTGGCCTTATTTGACCCAGCAACTGGCACCTTCCGACTGGAGACCCTTCTAGGGCAATACAACACCAAGTACGTAGTGGGGGGTTGAGGACCGAACACTTGCTAAAAGGAAAAGAACTGCTCAACAGGTTAATGCAAGCATGGACATTGGGACTTAGGGTAGTTTCGGAACCCGGCGACCTGAAGCTGGGATTCGCTGATTGTCCAAGCCCCGAGGCCCAAGCGGGTTGACACTAGCAGACCTCGAGCTGGTAAAAAGCCGGGCAGTTGAGTGACTAGGGCGAGCGGGTCGGACGGAGGAGGAAGGAGGGAGGCGGTAGAGCGGGGTGGGAAAGGGTTCAGCGCGGGGTGGGAAGACTCTACCGTGCTCCTGAGTTCACTGTTGGCGGGAACTGGGTTCCCACGTGCTGGCGCCGTGTGTCATGGGGAGTGATGGCCATATCATCACATACGACCAGGGGCCCATGTCCCCTTCTGCGGGCGGTATTGGGAATCGGCCGGAAGACGGCCGGCGGTTGGCGGGCCGACATGACGCTGTGCATGGATGGTAGACGGGTGGATGGAGCCCTGCCCTGGCCTGGCCTGGAGAATGATAATTCCAAGCCCGACCCAGATCAGTGCGAACTCCGCCGGCATGAGTGACGTGACCTAACGCCCGCATGAGCGCAGCAGCTGGGTTGTCATTGGGATGTCGTGCAATGCACGGCCCGCACTTGGCCTACCTCCCTGCATCAGACGATTTCCTCCCCCTCCCCCCAAGGGAACTTACTCCCCAGGGGCCAGGGGCGGCAATCTAGAGGGCCCCGCTCTCTGTCCCATGTTCCTTACTGCCCTGTCAACTCCCCAACCCCCACATTGTCGTACTTCCCCCTTCCTTTTCTCCGTTTCTTCTTCGCCTTCGTCTTAGACCTCATTCTGCGCTACGCGGTCGGGTTGCTGGGGGCAATACGCCTGGTTGTTGAGTCCACGTGACGTAGTCAAATATCCGTCCCAAGACAAACGTGTTTTCCACCCATGGGCACGTGCAAACACAGGCACGCCCGGGACGCCACCCCTTACCGGCCCCCCCCGGAGGACCTCACGGAGCTCTCCCCGGGGACATCGGGATCCGGGGCCCCCCCTGGACCGTCCATGTCGCCGCCGGCGGCACAGGCGGCGGCGCATCGCCGGAGCGACTCCCCGCGGGGCTCAGACGACGGCGCGCAGCCCTCCAGCCAGCTGCTGCAGCAATCGCACGGGGGGCAACAACACGACCGGTACGGCGCCGCCGCCGCCGCGCGCAACAGCAAGCCACCGAGGCCGCCAAGCGCCAGCGCGGCCGCTCGCGCAGGCGGTGCCGGAGGAGGAGGCGCCCAGGCTAAGAAGCGCCAGCGGGACTCCTCAGCGGGGTCGGGGGGCACCGGGGGCGGTGCGGCAGGGTCCCCTGCGGGTACCGCGGGGAGGAAGTCAAGCCGGTTGGCGCGGGCCTCAGGACCTAGGGCGCAGGCGAAGCGCGGCGGCGGTAAGGCTGGGGCGGCTGGGAAGCAGGAGCCGCTTAAAGGGGACCCTGGGCCAGCGGCAGCTGCAGCGGTGGCGGCGACAGCGGCGGCGGTGGTTGGGAATGGTCCCGGTGGCGACGGTCTGGAGGACGACGTGGATGCGGAGCTTCTGGATGCGTTTGAGACGTTTGATGTGGACCTGGATGAGGGGCTCGGAGGCCCCGCGGGGGCTGATGGGCCGGCGGTGCATCATGTTGGCGGGGAACATGGGGCCGGAGGGATGGGCGACGGAGGCGATGGAGCCACGGTCGCGGCGGCAGCAGCTACACCCACCCTCCCTGAGACCGTGGCCGCGACGGAGGAGCCGCCGGCCGCCGTTGCGCATCATCCTCGGTTGTACGACAGTGGTGCCACAGCGACCAAGGGGGGAGCGGCTGGCCAGCTGCCGGCGCCGCCTCCGTTGCCGGTCGAGAATGCTACTGCGCGTACCCCGGCCTTAGAGGTGGTCGGCCATGAGGAGGCGGAGGAGGTGATGGAGGAGGAGGAGCAAGAAGAACAGCATCAGCAGCTGCTCCTGTCACAGGAGCAGCAGGCGGTGCCCCCTTCGCCGCCTCGAGCCCGGCTGGTCGTTGACATGTTGGATGAGGATGATGGGTTCGGGTTCGGGGGTGAGGATGAAGAGGACCTTGGGATAGAGTATTTCTAGGGGGCTTATCGCTTTCGACGGATGTCCGTGGCGGCAGCTGTAGTTGGAAACTCGCCTCATGGGTGGTGGATGTTAGCAGTAGGGACTAGGACGTGTAGGCGTGTACTTTTTTAATGTAGGCAAACCGGGTTCTCCTATGGCCTCGCACGCAGCAGTGCGTCACGCAGTTAGATAGCAAGAGTCAAACGACTCTACTTTTTGTTACAAGCTTCACGAGCTTGTACGCCCAAACGAGACTGAGGCTCAAGAGCTTGAGTCAAGGCAAGGTTTTGTGTCGGAGTCAGCCCTTGTAGTACACAGGCAGTTGTAGCTGTGCATGTAATTCGTGAATCATGTTGAGGCAGGGGCCACAATTAGCAATGTTTGTGTGCGCTGTAATTGTATGGGTGCTCGCCAAACCACTTATAGAGAATTCGGAAGTAGGACAGGAAAAGGTAGGTTCGATAGGAGTCGACAGGTTGTGTACGGATACGCTTTGCCCAGAGGTCGTAGCCCAGGACCATAGCATTCTAGGATTACATGCGGCGCCGTGCGCAATTTTTGCATGATTGAAGGATGGACTAAAGCTCCTATGTAATTACACTGCGGAATTTGAAAGCTGCAAGCGTTTGACCTCCAACATCGTCGAACACTTATTGCTATGGAAAGAGTTTTTTACGGAGAACTTTAGCTGTTAGGCAGGATTATATACTTGACGGTGCTGTTGCGTAACAGTGAAATGGTCGCCCAAATGCCTTTCTCCGACCTGGAGGACACACCAATGTTCCGAATGAAGGCAAGGACTATGTGATACCTGGTGTAATGCGTGCATCGGCGGAGCAGTTTCATAGTCACGAGCTTGCGCATAGTTAAGCACATCCTAGCAGAACACCGCCAGCAACCAGCATTCCTACTTACAACGCTAACACGAGATCTTATGAGTACGTTGCACATGATTAACAGACCGTATGTTGCAAGGTGGCCCAAGGGCCCATCCATGCGACACGGTCGCGACTGGTCAGGTAGCCGCTCTGTAGCGTGCAACGGCCACGCCAGCACAAACCCCTTGCCATATCCTAGGACTACATATCCATCTCCGCCTGAACTCCAGTGCTCATCCCTCCTTGCCTCGGGTTGTCCTTGTTGCCAGGTCTCGGAGCTTGAGAATGGCTGTCGCAAGCTCCGAGGCCGGGTCACGAACCTGGTGGGACACTACCGCCGGTACCGCGACGCTCTGGTGGATCTGTGTAAGGCCCAGGTAGGGCAGGGCTCGGGCAATTTTTTCCGTCGTGGGCTTGGGCCTACCCACCCTCTCCCATCCCCGGCCCGGCCGGTTCGCCCCAACAGCCCGCTCTGTGCGAGACCTTGGGCTCTCCTCACACCAACACCCCTGACTAGGATCTGCCGTGGCTCCTTCCTCCACAACTCCCCTCCTCAACCACCACCACCACCATATCCGGGCAAGTATCCGGGTCCGATTGTCCTTACGGTGCAATCCCAGTCCCAACCACTGCCGCCACTGCCGCCACTCCTTCAGACTTCCTTCGTGGGGGGGTTGGCGGAGTTCTTCAGTGGACCGGATGGCGAGGAGCTGTCAGGTGGGCGGGGTAGCGGGGGCTTGGGAGTCATGCATGCAAGAAGCAAAGGCTCAACTGCCGACGCCCAAAGCAACAAACGCTGGAGGGTGAGGGTGGAGTTGGAGTTGGGGTTGGGGGCCCCACAGCCGGATTGCTGAGAAGTGGATAGGGATCCGTTCACGGGGCGGGACCCGGAACTGGCAGTGCGGGGGAGGGAGGGCAAAATGAGGAGGGGGAGAAGGGAGGGCGGTCGGGGAGAACCCTACGCCCGACGTGTGGTTGCTGGGTTGTGTATGTGTGTGTGTGTGTGTCCCCTGGGAGCCGTTCGGTGGCGGTCAGTGAATGAGCGCTGTGGAGGGTTCCCCCGGGGCATGGGTGGGCCGCGGCCAACACTGTCCCGCGGGTCACGTCCGCACTCCTCCCCTGGAAAGCACGTCCTTGAACCCTGCACTTGTATACTGTTGAGCTTACTCCGTCGTATCGACTCGGGGCTCAACCCCGTGGGACGAGTCGCAGGGGGCGTGGCGGTGAACAAGTACATCAGCACGCTTGGCGAGTCAACGTCGTACTTTGACTTACTCAAAATCCAGGTATGGCATCGGATGGGGCATTACGAGACCGGCACGGTTTAGCCAGGCACGGTTTACGAGGCCCCCGGTCCGCTTGTTGAAAGGCAGGTTCCCGGGCTACGTTTTTCTCACTGAGGAGATTGGCCAGTGAGCCTGCAGCTTCACTGGACGACCCCCACCCCACCCCACCCCCACCCATCAAGCGCGCTCGTGCCCTCCAGTCTAACTCACGCCCAACTCACATTTCCCTTACTTTCCCAACCTTGCTTAGGACTCTCCAGCACGTTTGGACCTTGAACACCGGCAGCTCAATTCCCACTTTCCCGTTGCGGCTCTCAGGCCCTCAGCAGCCCTGGTGACCCACCTCACCGGTCCCACCCCGCGTGTGTGTGTGTGTGTATACATACATGCACCGTACGATATCACCCCTCTCATCTTGCTTTCCTGACCTCGGCCAGGACTTCACGCTTTACCCTGATCTTTTGCCACTTGGTGCGCTCTCCTCCTCGCACCCTCCCCCTCGGCCTCGGCCTCGCATCCCAACCACCCCCGCTATCGGCTGCGCTGCTTCTTCCTGTCCGCCCACCCTCCCCCTTACCACTTCCCCCACCCCACCCAACTGGTCAGTTCTGCTCCTCTTTCCTTGGCAGCAGCTTCACTCGTTCGTGGTTCGTCTTTCCCCCTCCCCCACCCGCTCAGATTGAGTTCGCTGGCGACCAGCTCTCCTCCGAGTGGTTGGACGAGCTGCTGGCGGCCGCCCGGGACTCCCACCGTGCCTATGAGCGGAGCACCTCGGAGCTGGAGGACACAGCGGGCAGGTGCCTGGCACTGAAAAAGGTGATAAGGGGGAGATGAGGCGGCGAGGAGGAGGAGGAGGAGGAATTGATTTGGGAGGGAAGTGGGGGCCGGGTTTTATGATGGGGGGGAAAGGGGAGGGGGGCTCCAGGCAGTGCGTTGTGTTTTTCCGTTTGGTTTTAGCCTCTGTGGGAGAGCTTTGTACCCTGATATACACCTTCCCACGACAGCTCTCTGTCAGCGCTTTGTCCGTTGTCGTTGTGAGCGTTACGGATGCGGAGTGCACTACTGGCACGAACCCGCTCCCCGCGGGGCCCCGTCGCGGCAACTGACCAAACTATTTTTGCATGACCTGTGACCCACGACACATGGGGCAAGACAGGACAGGACGTAACACACTTGCTCGTGTCCTCCTCCCGCTCCCCCTCCCGCTCCCGCTCCCTCGTTCGTGGTTCGTCTTTTCCCCCTCCCCCTCCTCTTAGGGCACCAAGCGGGAGGTGTTGGACCGGGCGTCTGCGGAGCTTGCCGCCGCCCGGCTGGTGGCTGAGGAGGCGCGATTCGATGTTGCCCGGCGGCTGGCGACAGTGGAGTCGCGGCGGCGGTACAGCTTCCTGCAGCTGCTGCTGGACAGTGTGGGTGCGCACCACGCGGCGCTGAGGAGCGGCAGTGAGATGCTGGGCCGGCTGACCCCGCTGGGGGACACGGCCCGGGGGGTGGTGGCGGAGGCGCGTGCGGAGGCGACGGAGGTGCAGGTGGGGGTTTAGGCAGGAGGCATCTTCTGACAGAGGAGGTGGAGGGGGGATGTGTGTGTGTGCGTGCGTGTGTGTGGGTGTGGGTGTGGGTGTCCCCGGAATACTGTACCGCGGTATTGCTAAGGACGTGTTCAAGGGATGTGTTGATCATGTGCAACATACAATATGGGGGGCTGTAAGGGTCCAGCCGGTTCGGAGTTTCCGTTGTGACATGAAAAAGGAGCACCCCGAGGGTTTGGGAATGGGTTGGCGGGGCCGGGCAGTGGCAGGGGCAGTGGCAGGACGGTCAGTGCCAGCTCGTCCCTCCTCCTTCTCCACCCTCCTTCCTTTCCCTCCTCCTCTTCGTCCTCATTCCCGAGCTGATTAAATCTAGGTTTGCAAGCTCCTGAGGCTCGGGTCTCCCTCTTTCCCTCCCTCCGGCTGCGTTCCCCTGACCTGACCTGACCTGACCCGTTGCGCACCCCTTTCCCCTGCGCTGCCTCGCCGGCCGGTGCTGTTACGTCTGCTGCTGCTGCTGCTGCTGCTGCTGCTGCTGCTGCTGCTGCTGCTGCTGCTGCTGCTGGCGGTGTTGGCGGCTATGGTGCTGCTGGCGGCATGCACGTACATCCCGTACATACGGTACCCGCCCCCGGGCCCCAACAGGTTCAGTTGTCCCGTGAGGCGGCTCGCTGCAAGGCCATCAGCGAGCAGGCCGCAGCCCTGGCGGCCGCCTCGCTGTCATCCGGGGACGAGTCGGGACACGGGCCCGTCCAGATGACGGGTGAGGGGGAAGGGGGCTGAGTGGGGAGGGAAGGGGGAAGGGGGCTGAGTGGGGAGGGAAGGGGGAAGGGGGCTGAGTGGGGAGGGAAGGGGGAAGGGGGGCAGCGGAATACATGGCCACGGATGTGACAAGAAGGGGGTTACTGCGGAAAGGTAGCAGCAGCAGCAGACGCGGATGCGACCCGGCATGCATGTACAGCTTCCGGTCCGCCCCTCCTGCTTGGCGATGGCGAAAATCGCCACGCGCACCAGGCCACCCCCACCCATCCAAACCCACACGACCGAGCCCAGCACCTTCACCGACCGGACTCAACCTCCTCCCCCCCCAGCAAGTAATAAGACGGCGGTGTATCGATTGTGGAATTTACAAATCATTGGGAGGAGCGTTCATAATTGCTATTTTTGTATTGATTGTTTGCCGTGTCATGCAAACCTTTCGTTCCTCCTTACCTACAAGTCCTCCCTCCCGCCCTGCCTTGCATCGGGCCTCCATTGAAGAATTCCCTCCCTTGCGCCCATGTGTGCATGTTCATGATGGCCACACACACACCTCTACACGCCCGCACCGCATTCCTTGTTCCGCGCCTCCGTTGCTTGTTTCCCCCCGCTCGCACAGCCGCCAAGTCGAGCGCTGCACTGGCTGCGGAGGCGGCTCTGAGGGCCACACGGGCAGCACAGGCCGCGGGGGATCCCAACCCGCAGGTTACGGTTCTACGGCAGGTACGGCACACCGTATGGCCAAGGCAAAGGGTGAAGGGGTAATGTTGATGGTCCTGGTCCCGGTGGTGGTTTCTGTCGCCCTGCTGGGGCCCCTACTCTGACCGTGACCCACGCACCTCCTGCAGCGCCCCACCTCCTGACCCCCTACCTCCCGGCCTACCTCCCGAACCCTTGCTACCTCCCCCCTCGCAGGGCTACCTGTTGAAACGCAGTGGTGGTTCCTCCGCCAGTGGTGGGGGTGGCAGCAAGGTGGTGTCCGGGGAGTGGAAGAGGCGCTTCTTTGTGCTGGACAGCACCGGACAGCTCTACTACTACAGCCAGAAGGTGAGAGGGGGGGGGAGAGAAGGGGGGGCGGGGATTGTGGGAAGGGTATTGAGGCGGGCAGTGGGCAAGTGGGCACATGGAGGGTTGGAGCACATCTGCCTGCTAGGCCGGGGACCCCAGGAGGGGCGCGGGGCCGCCTCCGGAGTCACATCGCCGTTTGTTTGGACGTCCTCGCCCCTCCGCGGCCTCTGAAGGCCCCTCCAATAAAGCAGTTGAGTCACCCCCTCGAGCGCCCCTTCAGGAACTGACTGCTGACTCGCTGTGTGCCGCCAACTAAGTACCCAGCCGGCTGGTTTCTCTACCGACACGGGCTGAACCTCGTTAAGACTTTTCGCTTTGTATCGCCACCGTTTCCACCGTTGTCGATGTGTCGCCTCGGCTGACTGTGAACCTGCGACTGGCTGGTGGGCTGGTGGCCTGGTTGAGTTAACTTGTTCTCCTGTGTCTGCCAGTCGTCTGTACATGCTCCCCGACTGCCCCCCTTTCCCCCTTTCCAGGATAGCCTGATCAACAAAATCCGGGGCATCGAGTCCCACCAGCCCGCCACCACATGCGTCAACCTGCTGACCAGCACCATCAAGATGGACGACGAGGCGGAGCCGGGACTCAGGTTCTGTTTCAGGTGCGGAGGGCGGCAGGGGGAGGACAGCGGCCACCGTCCCCTCGTGTGTGGAAGGACGCATGTGGCCCAGCCCTCTCAGGCCCCCACATCTCCCTCCCGGCCTCCTTCCCGTCCCCGCCTTTCCCCTGGGGCTCTCCGTCCCTTATCCCTCGGCAGTGTGCTCCCCTGCCAGCTCCCCTCTACCCTCCCCTACCGTTTGGGGAACGACGTGTCAACGGTTGTTTCCCTTTTTGACGTTTTAGTATATTTCCTGGCCCGCCCTCCCCCTCCGGGTCCCCGTCCTCGTGTATTCCACCCCTCCACCCCTCAGGGTTGTCAGCCCCACCGGCACTCTGGCGCTACAGGCAGAGTCGGAGCCCGACCGAGCCGCCTGGGTGGCCATGTTGCAGGTGACCATTAGTGCGCTGCTGGACTGCGTAGCGGCGGGAATTACCACTACCACCACCACCACCACCACCACGACAGCGACACTACCGCCATCAGCAGCGGCGGCGGCAGGAGGTGGTGGCAGCGCCGCTCCGGCCGCGGCAGCTGGGGCTCCTGCTCGGCCCAATATGGGAACCGCTTCGCCGTGCGGGTTGCCGCCCGGGGCCCTGGCGGCGGCGGCTTCAGCAGGGGCGGCTGGTTTGTCAAGTCAGGGCTCCGGGGGGTGGGAAGACCTGCGGGGCCCGAGCAACACCGCCAACGGTAGCGGAGGCGGGGGCGGGGGCGGTGCTGTTATAGCGGGCTCACCCGCTCCGGCCGCCGGGGGGTTGGTGGGGGGAGGAGCGGGAGCGGCGGACGTGGGCATCGTGGAGACACCGCTGACGCGACTAAGGTAACCGTGTCTTTCTTGTGTGTGTGTGTGTGTGTGTGTTGGTGTCAGGTTGTTCTTACAATGCTGTGCAAAGACTTCTTGGGAAAGTCTCTAATCTAGTCTATCTCTGAATGGGTTGAAGGAGAGGGGGCGTGTCCATTGGGCGTTTAGCGTGTGGGGGCCCCGCAGCCCTCCGGCGGGGTTGTACGTTTCGGGCAGCGGAGCCCGTCGGGAAGCAGGTGCTGGGGGGACCCACGTCCGCGGTTTGCTACACGCATCATGGGCGTGTGTGGGGGGGGCCCCGAGGTGGTTGCCATGATGCCCCGGGAGCATGGCGGTGACCGCCACCACCAAACCACACAGCGAGTCGTGATGAGCTGGCAGCCGGCCGACATGAAGAAATAGATGTGTGTCTGTATATGTTCCTGTCTAGTTGGCCCCCTGTGCGGCTCCTTGTCCCTACCGCCGCTCTTCACGGCTCAGCACTGTCAGCGGTGGTCTGGATGCCAACCCCTACCTACCTACCTACCTACCTACTTACCTACTTACCTACCTACCTATCTACCTACCTACCTATCTACCTACCCACCTACCTACCTACCTACTTACCTACTTACCTACCTACCTATCTACCTACCCACCTACCTACCTACCTACCTACTTATCTACCTACTTATCTACCTACCTACCTACCTACCTACTTACCTACCTACCTATCTACCTACCTACCTAGTTAGCTGCCCTTCCATGAGGTGCCTCTTGGTGGTCCCTCCGCGCCCTGAGCTACCCGCAGGCGTGTGCCGGGTAACTCCCAGTGCTGCGACTGCGGCGCCCCCGAGCCGGATTGGGCCTCACTGAACCTGGGCTGTCTGCTGTGCATCGAGTGCTCCGGTGTGCATCGGCAACTGGGTGAGGCAACGATGCGTGTCTGTGTCTGTCTGTCTGTCTGTCTGTCTGTCTGTGCCTGTCTGTGTCTGTGTCTGTCTGTGTCTGCATTGTATATCTGCCTGCCTCGTATGTCTGTCTGCCTTGTATGTCTGTCTGCCTTGTATGTCTGTCTATGTCTCTATTTATGCCTCTGTCTGTGTGTGCCTGTACCTGTTTTCTGGTAATTGGTTCATGTGCTTGCCTTGCCGCTCTTCCATCTGATCACCCCCCATCTCTGCCCTCTTCTCTCCCCCCCCGGGCTTCAGGTGTGCACGTGTCCAAGGTCCGCTCCCTCACTCTGGATGTTCGTGTGTGGGAGCCCACCATCCTGGAGCTCTTCTCAAGGTTGGGCAACACGGCAGTGAATGCCGTATGGGAGGCCCGCCTCACACAGCTACAGGCACAACAACAACAGCAGCAGAGGCGTCCGGGGGCCTCGTCGGGGAGTCCCGGTGGGGTGGTGGGTGGCGGTGGTGGCGGTCGGACGGGTGTGGATGACACTTGGGTTTGGTGCGAGGAAGACGAGGAGGAGGAGGGTGAGCGGGCTTGGGGTGGGTTGGAGTGAGGTGGGGTGGGGAGCGGGACAAAGCACAAGAGGATGAGGAGGGGAGGAGCAGCGCCGGCCGGGGGGGGAGCGGCAGGCTTTAATTTACACACACAACACACAGAACACCTGGTTTGTTTTGAATCCAGGTGGTGTTCCATCCCCGTCACGTAACGACACAACAATCCGGACAAGCCCCAATGGCACTGACCGGCAATCCGTTGCGTTGCCTCGCGCGCCCCTGTGTTCTTTTCATTATGTATACAACACATCACCGCTGTAGTAGCTGTTGGCTGCTGAAAAGCCCTCTCAATATGCTGGGCTGGCGGAGAGCCGTAGCGCGTAAATATAGACAATGTGTGCGCCATATTGTAAACGACAGCTACTTCAGCTACACAACACAACCTGGTGCAAACACATAAAACGGCGGGCAACAAACCACCGTCAGGTCACCTCCCTTACGCACCGACCCGCAGGCCATGGTGCGGACCTGGCCACCAGTCTGGCTCGTAAGGCCCTGGCCGCGTCATCTACCGCCGCCCATGCATCCGCATCCGGCTCCGCCATGTGGGGCCGGAGCAGCGGTGGCGGTGCGGGCAGTGGTGAGGCCTGGTTGCTGGCCAAACCCCACCTTCGCGCCCCGCTGGCGGAGAAGCAGCGCTACATCCAGGTGGAGATTTGCGCGCGGGAGATTAGGGGGGGGGTATGGGGGAAAGGATGGAGGCTGGGAAAGAGACAAGCGAAGTGGCGTACTCTCAGACTCGTTGGGTTGAAGCTGAGGGTTGGTGGCAACAAAGGAACCAGGGGTCCAAAAATCCCTTCAGCAAGGGTTCCACGAAAGCAGGATCCGTCTTCCTCCCTCCCTCTCGCGCCCTCTCCCTCCCAATGTCCCAGCCCCTTCCGCCCCCGACCGACTCCCAGCTGCCAGTCCTCCGCCCAACCCGACACGCGCCACTTGATGCTACTTCATCCACGTCCTGCAGGCCAAGTACGTCGGCCGGGTGTACGTGGCTCCCCCTCCGCCGCACGTGCTGTCCGGCCCCGGGGGTGCCCCCCAGCAGCTGGGACTCATGTTGTGGCATGCAGTGGAGGCAGCGGATCCCCAGGCGGCCCTGCAGGCCCTGGCGTGGGGCGCGGACCCCGCGGTGCACGTGAGGGGGCCGAGAGCGGCGTTGCTTATACAGGAGATGCTGGAGGCAGCCGGAGGCGTGGCCGCCGCTGGCGGAGGCGGCGGCATGATGCCGCTGCGGCCGCACACCGCCTCCGGCGGCGGCGGTGTTGCGCTGACGCTTCCGCCGCTTCATTTGGCGGCTGCTGAGGGGTGTTTGTTGCTGGTGGAGCTGCTGCTCCAGAGCGGTGCCCCGGTGGATGCGGTGGACGGTGCGGGTGGGGGCCACACAGCGCTGCATTACTCGCTGCTGGCGGACAGGTGCGTGCAAGGGAAGGGTGGGGAAGGGAGGTGTGTGTTCTTGCATAGAGATGCGGATATACCAACTGCCAAGGAAGTGGGGATGAGAAGAGGAGGAGCGCGGGGAGGGTAGGGGCTGTGGAGGGCGCGGGCCGCACAGCAGGTGAGCCTTTTACTGCGCCACGTCCGGCGCCGTGGATTCCAAGGAAGGTACCACATTTGTAAAAATCGGCGACTCTGTTGGATTTAAAGAGGTAAACAACTACCCTTTATTTCATAAGTCCAGAGCCGTAAAAATTTTAATTTATCCTTACGACGTACTGTACGCGCCGTACCTTACGCAGGTACGACGCTGCCAAGCTGCTTCTCCGCCGGGGCGCGTCGCTGACTGTTTGTGACGCTGCCGGTCGGCGGGCTTGGGACCTCGTGGTCGCGGTGAAGGGGCGAGTGGCGGATGAGGAGCTGTTCTTGCTGCTCAGTGGCGGGGTACAGGAGGCGCCTGCAGCGGCTGCTGGTGGGGTTGGTGGTGGAGTCAGCGGCGGGGTAGGTCAGCAGGACGTGAGCCATCATGGGTGATGCGGGGATGAGGGGAGCAGGGCGTGTGGGGAGCTATGAGCGGTTGGATGGAGGGGGTTCGTTCGCCCGTGACGCGAACGTGGAGCAGGAAGACGATGGCGACGATACGGGCAGGTGGAGGAGGAAGAGAGGGGAAGGAGTAGGAGGATTAGCTGGCTGCGAGGGGCCACCTCGCGGATGCCCCTTGCGCGCCGTACGTGATTTCGGTTGTTGAGGTGGGGAGGGCTCCCTGCGATTGATCCCCGCGAGCGGTTCGAGAGGATTGTGTATGTGTGCGGGCAGTGTGTATGAGGGCACGTGAGGGTGATGGGACTGCGGGCTTTGCCGTCTCAGCAGTCCGGATGTTATAGTCGTCGCCCGGTGGTTATCCGGGGGTCTTGGCGAGCCGAGGTGAGAGGCGAGGCAAGAGAGGCGAGAGGTGGGATGAGGTGGGGCCCCTCCGTTCGTCTGAGGGAGAGCTGTAAAGGCCCCTTTTTCCGTCTCTGGTGGATTGATCCTGTGATACCCAGGATACTACAGATGTCTGCCCTAGGTCGAGCCCGCCGCTAGCTCCATTTTCGTTCCCGGCATCTTTTTGGCAGCTGCGACAGGGCTGTCTCTCTGTGGCCATTGCTTTTAGAAAGTGCAAATGCAATCCATGGGCGACATTGCCCTGCAGCAGCTAGGGTTTGCCAACCCGGGTCTTGACTCACAGAGATCGGTAATTTCATTCGCCTCTACACATTGCCGTGATACTCCTTACATTAATCACAAGTATAGTTTCAGATCTCGGGAAGAAGGGTTTTCCGATTTCCGATTTCGCTCACATTGGACCGGCGATCTCAGAGATCCAGTACGACAATATATAGTGGTCTCCATGCCAATGGAAACGGGACTTCAAGTAGGGTGGAAGGCATCCGCCGCCATGCTTTAGAACCTGCAACGGTCCTGCTATGCAAGGGTGTCGTTGCACCAGGAGGCCTCTGGCAAAGTACCAGCTGGTTGAGGGAAGCGGCAGAATCTGACCTCGAGGCCGCGGTGGCCCGATTGTTTCATGCAGTGTTCGAGTTTACATCAATGGTAGTGGGGACGGCACGGCCATCGCACAGGCTGTTGTATGCGGAGCTGGCTGAACTCCCCTTACAGTATTACATGGTGATCCTCCGTTTCTGGAACCGCCTTCAAAAGCAAGTGGGGTCCATTGCTCATGCAGTTTCACGGCAGGAGATAACCGATGCCCTAACCAACCCGGAATGGGAGGGTTGGGGAACCTCAATGTTACGACTGTTTTCCTTCTTGGAATACCGCGAGAAGTCGTGGGGGTAAAGGAGCGTGTTGACTGGTTGTTGAGTAGACCTCTCCCCGAAGGAGCGATGATGACGGCACTAAGAGAGCGTTTGATGAGCTGCTGGGACCATACGCGTCTGACTGTCTTGCCAGAGGAGTACCCATCAGATGGGAAGCAACCGGGAGTGCAAATGGCGAAGTATAAGCACTGGATGGGGCTGCCCTTTTCGGGAGCCGCAGCCGTCATGTGGCCAACACATGCTAAGGTTTTCATTCCTCGTTTAGCACGTCGTAAGCTAATGCAGTTTCGTTTATGTTGTTGGGTTCTGGAGGCAAACAGAGCACGAAGGGGCAAGTACCATGTCCCCAGGGGGCAGCGGTTTTGCCGCTGTTGTGGTACTAATAGTCGAATCGAGGATGAAAAACACGTGTTGATGGAATGCCCAGCCTATAATGATATTCGTGCTGAAGAGGGATTCGATCATCAGAGCATGTTGGAGGCCATGAAATGGGAACCAGTACATCTGTGGGCTCACCGAAACTGTGGGCTCACCGAAACTCAGTTACCCCTTTTGGACGCTAGTGTGGGCTGATGTGCGGTGTTTCTTGTTCTCCGTGGCTTTTAGGCGTTGAAGTATTGCCCTTGGGCCTTCGGCTCGTATGGGTAGTTTTACAGGTATGGGGTCACGCACCCCCCAACCATGTAACACACACACACACACATCAATGGATTGGATTGGAGTGGAATGTCGACCCAACAAAAGGCTCGTGAATCTCACTTGACTTAACGAATCTTGAGGCAGCTTGAGGTCGGGGGACGACCTCCTTTTTGGGGGAGGGGGGAAAAGCAGGTTTTCGCTTCTTGCCAGAGACGGAGCTGGCGCGGGCCCTTGATAGCAACATCTGCAGTTACAAGTTTTAGGAGAGGCTTGGTCAGCCTTATCCCAGCCAAAGCCGTGAAGGGGAAAAGCCGCCAGTGTTGTTCCTCAGGGCGCTCTCCCACGGCTGTGTGTGTATGTGTGCTATGCATGGTCGTGGGGTGCGTTCCCCGTACCTGCAAACCGGCCAATACGAGCCGAGGGCTCAAGGGCTGCCAGATCGCCTAAAAGCACCATCCTACCTCGAACGTCAGACAAAGCAAGTGATACGGGATACTAACTCCCACAACTAACTTATAGCATTTTTGTGCATATTTTCTGCCGTAATGTCGTACCAGATGTAAGATACGAAGCCTACTACACCAACAACGAACGTCAGCGTACACATGACGTACACATCACCGTACATCAGCACACCTTGGCATCAATAGCTATTTGTTAGCAACTTTAAGAAATACCGTCCTTGATGCTGCACCACCGGGCTGCGACCCGGCGTATGAAGGCCTCTGGGATGGCTAACCACTACTAACCACGTTTCAGTTCGTGGTGGGTCCAAATCACGTTGATGAGATGACATCGTGAGTCACTATCCACATTACGTCGCGATAACGATTGCTGCTCACAGACCCCTGGATTAGAGCAATCAGGGAGACAGGCCTAGGAGGGTAATGCTTGCTTGTCCAGGATTGGCTTTCAACATACGGTACCGTGTCTTCGCCGTCAGGAGCGAAACACGTGCGCGCAACCAGGGGACCGGCGGCCAACGCATTTACCAGCAGCATATGTGGCAAAATGAGCGAGCTCTAAGGGTAGTGAAGCCGGTGTTGGGGTAGTTGTTCGCTGGCACCTGGCTGGTGTCGTCAGCGCCAGATTATGAAAAGCTGCTGACTGGTGCAACTGAATCTTCGCAATGAATGATCTACGCAACTAACCAAGCATTCCGATTCCGCCCCGGCGTCCTCTTTCCGAGGGTGGCGGCGGTGGGTTCTGCACGCTTGGCTGTGGCGAACGTGGGCCAGTTCCTGAAGCAGATCAATGGTTTTTAGCTGCTGCTGCAGTGGTGGCGGTTTCGCCGACAAAACATGGGGCGGAGGTGGCGGCGGCGGCCTCCGCGCGCTTCTAGGGCCATTCCACCAATACAACAACGGTGACACAGATGACGACCTGCAGCAGCACGCGCGTGGCAAGAAGGGCGCATCACAGTGTTAAGCATTCCCTTGCCGCTCCTTGCCTCTGGGCGTACAGCTAATAACATCCGCTGACTGCTCATTGTTCAGGAGGGAAATTAGTACCGTTTATGCGTTTTCAGGTGTCAATCTGATGCATGTGATGCCTTGATGGCTAGGCCGACCAAGAAGGGGCGACCAGGGGAGTGTAGGCGGGTGCTGCTGCTGCTGCTGCTGCTGCTGCACCGCTACTGTTTGTCCAGCTGCGAGCTGCCGTGCCAGCCAAACCATGTATCACGACACTCATGCTCATGATGATGTTATACGTGTGCTGTATGCACGTGCGCGGTCCCTTTCCTGCTATAATTTCGTACTTGGTGATGAGAGAGAGAATGACATTGACAACGCTGAGATAGAGCGAAAACACAGGGCGCCCTGTAGGCGCCGTACACTCACTTTCGGAGGCCGGCGCACACCAACCCATATCGTGATGTCAACTATCACTCTTATCCTCCCGGCAACATCGCTCGAGGGCGTAGTCAGCGCCGACTTGTCGTTGTGACCAGCAGCACGCACAAGCAACGTCCCGTCATCCTGCCTGCGGATAGGGAGGCGGTCAACAACACCGTCGTCCATTCGTCAGGTACTACTACCGGAACGGTTCCCAGGACAGCGGGGGGCCTGCAGCAGAGTCGTCCGGTTCCTGGCTCCTGCAGCTGATAAGGTCTTACGACCCGTGGGCGACACATGTTTTTGTCTGAATGTGTAATTATTTAACTATTTGCCCTTGGGCCTTCGGCTCGTATGGGTAGTTTTACAGGTATGGGGTCACACACACCCAACCATGTAACACACACACACATATAGCTGGGTATAGGTTTAGGACTTGTGATGCGGCCCGCTGCTTGGTGCCCTGCAGCAGCAGCAGCAGCAGCAGCAGCAGGCGAAGGAACCAAAGGCGTCCTCCACTCCAGGACCACATCAGGCCCACTCTAGCTTTGGTCCATATTTCCCCTTCTCAATTAACCAGACTTCTGCATATTGTTGCTGTCGTACAGTACGGGACACACCGACGACACGCATGTATACGTGCTAGAATGCATCGATCGGCCTATTTCGGCGGCCAGCTATTGCACATCCAGCTATTCCAAACCACCCACTTCCCCTCCTCACTGTTGCACCCCGAGTGTGGCCTCGTCCGACAGCAGTGTCGGGTACTGGGCCATCTTGCCGAGGGGGAAGTCCGAGGCGGTCAGCGCCTTGGGCACTGCATGGCCCAGCATTATGGCTGCCAGGCTCTAAGCATCCGGTGGCGGCAGGCCCGAAGCATCTTGTTCAGCGAAGAACTTGTCCCATGCCTGCAATAGGATGTCCATGCCGACATGACAGGGGCAGCAAACACACGTGCATGTTAAGTTGCATCAGGTCCATGCACATTCATTTGCTTTCCCGGGTTGGATTTTTGTTCAATTTATAAATTCAGGCGCCTACTGCATTGGGGTTGGAGTGGATTTGCTTGGCTCAGCTTGGCAGAGACGCTGGCGATGGGTAGTGCACAAGGATGCAGCGCTGGTTGGTGGGCTGGTGCGGGCTGCGGTCCACCGGAGCTGGGCTGTGTCGAGTATCAGATGCATGGCCATATTTTAGACGTTGCGTAATCATAAGCGTATAAATATATGTTTTACGCAGGAGTAAATAACAATGTTGGCAGTTGGCGACTTGGGGCTTCGGGCGCGATGCGGACCGGCTCTGGGAAAGCGAATCAACTTGATGTTTATATTTATATGTCATTTTCCTTATCATGATTAAAGCCTGGGCGAGCAGAGAAGTCAGCCAATTATCTGATCAGTTTCCTGGCCCACCAGCCGATCCACCTTCCAAGCATTTTACTTCTTTTACAAATATTGTTAATAAGGAAGACTATAATTATTTTCCGGCCCACCTCATCAGTTGGCAGGAACAGCGTTCGGCCTGGACCCGAATCATCTGAGCAGTCGCTGTCGGGTTTGCATCCGAGCAGCCATTCGTGAAAATCTCCGGGCGCCTCTTATAGGAACTTATAGGTCGTAGACAACTCCGGGCATGCGTCGAAGACGTCCTGGATCGATGCGGCGCCGGTCTTAGCCAACTCCGCGCACGATGTCTGGGCATGACTTACGGAAGCGCCTTAGTGCGGGGTAGGGTAGGCGGCGGGCAGAGGGCCAGTCGGGATCGGGCGGTTTACATATAGAACAAATATTTTAAATAATTCATTCTTAAAATGGTCATGACGGAAGTCACAACATAAACATATGGAGGCGGCGGTTCCGCTGTCGTCGAAGCTGCCGATCAGGAAGCTTCTCTGCTCAAACATTATATCTTAGAGTGACGCAAAAAATAAGTGATCTGACCGGAGCCTATTACCAGGTGGCCTTGCGATCCTATAGAGGCTAGTTGAGCGTCGGAACTGCTCGGCACAAGCCTATCACGCCCAAGCCGCTCTTACGATAAATAATTCCTTTCCGAAAGGCACTTACCCAGAACACATAGCAGGGCCAGAAGAAGAGGAATCCTGCTAGCCATTTCCGGTCGGTAGGTCAAGATGGCGCAAGCCACAGCAGCAGCTTGCAACTGCGGCAGCTCAGGTGCGGGAAAAGCAAGGCACTCGCTTACAAACAAGCTGCATACAAACTCTATCCCATGATACAAAACAAAGCTTCGCACCTTAAGCAATATATAGGTACGCAGCGGCTGACGTGTTGACCGTTGGCCGCTCAGATGTCGTACTCGACTCGAGTGAGCGTTTCCGCCCATGCATATGATACGCGCCGTTTTTGCGAGTGCGAGCATGCATCAAATCGTTAAACTATCCTCACTTCATATACCGGGAGCAATATTGCGTCCAACTTATAAGCGCCTGCTGGTTCCAAGGTTAAGCTCCCTTCTCGCCGTCTTCACGAGTCAGGCTGCTCGTAATCCGGCCCCTTCAGGAGTACATACATGTCCGACTGCGTGCAGAAAGGTTTAAGACAACGAATCAAAGATATTTGCGTACCGCTTGGCATGCTTTAAACCACGCTCGCGCTTGTTTTGTCAATATTTTGCTCCGCCTCGATGAGCTGATATCCGAAACAAGTGTGACTGTGCGTAACTTCCACGTAACTTCGCAGTTATGTGATGGTTCCGCAGCTTCCTTTGCAACGCCGTACTTGTCCCTAGTAAGGCCCCTTGCTTGATGATGGCGGATGAGGACACGGAAAGGAGCTGCAACCAGGAAGGGAACCTCGCCCGGTGAATTATCCATGGATGAAGTCGTTGATCGATTGCTGTCGTGATGCATGACGTCGTTGAAGGTGGTTTGGTTGCATGTCTGGGTTATATCGCAGCCGCATGCAAGCGTCCTTGTTGATGTTCAGCTTTGCATGGATGGAATAATGGGAATGCTAGCATGTACAGCAGTACGGCATGAGGGGCTTCTATTAACTAGGATACCAAAGGAAGATAAATTCTTCTTGAATCGAAATTTCATGTAAAGCCCGGCTGCACATGTTCACCTGATGTCGGCTGGATACGTGGGGAAGTTAAGGGACTGTAACGGAACGGAACTGGTTGGCTCGCTGTAGTGTCCTGGAGGGTTTTCATACCACCCGGGATCTGCACCCACCGTTCGGTTCTTTTCTTAAAAAGTCGTGATATAACACTCGGTCACAAGTCGTTACTGGTTGGTTTGGTTACGGTCCTGGAAACGAGTTACAGTTCAGTTTTAGAAACCGACCAGTAACGGGGCCATTTACATTTATGCCATAGGGGCTCGTTTTTTCATTCATTGATGATGTTTTGAATATTGCACCCTTTACATTCTGTGGGGGGCCCACCGGGAAGGGTCTTAGGGTGGGGTTCGTGTGAGGCGGAGGGCTCTTTCTGCTTCCCTGGCAACTCTCTCGACCTGCCTGCTTGCCTCTCTCCCTTGCTTGAAGGTTAATTAACAAGGAGGCTTGATTAGGCCCGATGGGTTCCGAAGCTAGGTCACCAAATGGTTGTAACCATAAAAACGTTTTAGAATTATCTTAAGTTATGGAGTTGGGATTAGGTCATGGTTTATCAGCTCAGGTGAAGGGTTACGCGTACAGGGATATCTTACACCGGTGGTCTAAGAAGTTCTAAGCGGTGGATTGGCGCGGATTAAAAATACCTTAATCCGTGACTTTTAATCCAAGTGGAAACACCCCCTAAGACCCAGGGTTCAATCTTGAATATATATCCGATATTTTTGGGGAGCGAAATAGCCGTTAGTCGATGAGAGATGATACTGTAACCCGGCTGCAATAATAGCTTATTTGTTGAAAAAATCCTAACAGTTCGTCATACAGCTTTGCTGTACTCGACCCGCCGGCGTATGTTTTGTTGGAGAGTAATAAAAGCAATCAACATCCCGACACCTGTACCTGCGATGTGTGGTTCAATACTGTTCAATACGTCCCGTAATTGGTCCCAGGTACGCTTTTCCTCTCTTACATGTTTCAGCAGAAGCAGCAACGTTTCCGGCCATGTATCGACGCGCTCTTTTTGTGAGCTCAGGTTACAAGAAAATAGATTCTTCAAGTTTAAATCACGATCCCGGAGCATTCATTGCGTCCAACCTATAGCTTCGCGACCTAGCTGTTGAGCTGAAGCTCCCTTCTCGCCGCCGTGTTCGTTTGGAAATATTGTGTATGTATAATGCCGAGCCACGCACAAGGTGTCAAGTTGCGACTGACTAATGCCCTCCTGGCCTAGTTCGGTGTCCCTCCATTACCACGACTCTGAGCGTGTTAAAACGGGCGTTTGAGACATACGCCAATGCAGGCTTCCTTGCCGCTTACTCGGCATGCTGCCACAGGTGCCGTCAAAAGGCAAGTAATCTAAAGGAAATGTGGACGTACTTTGAACAAATAAGATGCTTCGCAATTACTGTGTCTGCGGTACTCTTAGCAGCTGCTGAAGGTGGACGGTACATGGAGATGTTTTTGCAAGGCCTGGAACGGGAGGAACCCGAAAGCGTGTGCTTGGTTGACAACGTCATCACTCGCATAATTCGTATTCCTTCACCAAGGGCAGCGGGAAACGTTGCAGACCGTAAAACCCCCGGTGGAGATGCGCTTGGTGCAACTGCGACTCCCCTCCTTTAAGATAACGCCTTGCTAGGGCCATTGAGACTGCCTCGAAGAATGTATAAAGCAGTAGTCCCCGACCGCACGTGGCGTTGCAAGTTGCTGCCTACGCTGCCCGCTGGGCCATTTAAATAACGTTGCATCGAACGAGCCACATGCAATCAGCACAGTGTTGCGCACTGCTGCATGAGACTACTGTCGCGCCCTTTTCTTCGCCCATCATGGACACCTGCAGCACCTGGACGCCTGGAGGATATTAATACGGTTACAGTCGTCTGTCGCATGCGCAGGAATGTGTCTTCGCGCCATATGAGAGTTAAGCTACGGCGCACCCGCAGGAGCCCGACCGTCGCTCAAGGCCCCGCCGATTGCATACCTAACAGCCCTTCGGTCCATGCGCTTATCGGGTACATGTCGTGAGCCGTGCAGATGGGACTTTAGTTCGCGGCTGGACAGCAGTCGCCGCCACCGTGCACCATCGCATCCCTCCTAGACGACCTTGAATAATGAGACACATTGTAATTTACATCTTGACACGCAAGATGTGTAAGATGGGGGTAACTAAAACATTTTAATAAGCGTGGATTGCCGTACATAATAAAAACGCTAACCAGCTTGGTGCTACTTGATATGTATTTGCTATGAATTACGTAAAAAGCTACTTGACATGTATGCGAGTCAGGATTTGAGAAAAACAAAAGAGGCGATCAATTATCATCAGGGAAACGGGCCTATACGGAGAAATACTTGCATAGGACTGACGTTCATGCATTACTGTGTCTTCTCCTTTTCGAGCAAAACGTACGACACAAAACGTGTAACATAATAACCCCTCATCCTCACCAGCACCGCCACCATTATCATCATCATCACCAGCACCACCACCATTATCATCATCATCATCATCATCATGGTAATCCATCACCACCACCACCACCATCATCATCATCATCATCATCATCATCGCAGCTAGTCCAATTTCAACGGTATTGTAACCGTACCTACCTACCTGCTGTTTGGCTGCAGCTGGGCAATGGATCTAGTTACGTGGTAGGTTAACCGCCCAACAACCAACCGACATGCACAACAGATCGGAGGTAACGTGCCAATAACCGTCACTCGCCCCGCAATTAGGAGGTTCCTGGCTATCAGGGCAGCCAACTGGCCCAACCAACCTCCGGATCCGTGCGACACTGCCCAACAGGCTCCGTGCGCCGTACAGCTAAACAACGCCGTACATTCCACCACCACCACTAATACCAGATGACCTAAGCGGTCAAGTCCACCTCGCAATGCTAAGGCTCTTTTGCGCAACCTTAACTCCTGTTTTGCCATTTAAAGTTTGTGGAACGAATAACATCCATGACAAACATTTCAAAGATCACCGCGTGGGGTCGCAACCCTTAAAAATGCACGGCGGCCGGGGTGGCCTTGGCGGCGACGGCCTGAGCGGCCGGCGTGGTGCCAACAGAACAGGCCGCCCAGGCATCTCGTACATTACCGGAAAATCCGGACGTCCTGGCGGCGGCGGCGGCGGCGGCAGCCCCGGCTTGGAGGGCACCCGAGGCGAGCTGTCGGTTGGGAAGTTGGGTTCAAGGAGGAGCGGCCGCGGCGGGCGCTTCAGCTCACCAGGGATGGACGGCGCCAAGGGCCTGGAGGGCCACAGGGGATCTCTGGGGATGAACGGCTTCAAGTTGGTGGGCGGCGGCGGCGGCCTCCATTGATCTTTGGGAGGCGGCGGCGGCGGGCTCAAATCGGTTTTTGGCGGCGGTGGCGGCGGCTTCCATTGATCTTTGGGAGGAGGCGGCGGTGGCCTCCATTGATCTTTGGGAGGCGGCGGCGGAGGGCTCAAATCGGTTTTTGGCGGCGGCGGCGGCGGCCTCCATTGATCTCTGGGAGGAGGCGGTGGAGGGCTCAAATCGGTTTTTGGCGGCGGCGGCGGCGGCCTCCATTGATCTTTGGGAGGCGGCGGCGGTGGCCGACCATCCGTAAACAGCGGCGGCGGCGGTGGTGGCTTGGACTGCCCCAGCGGTGGCGGCGGTGGTGGCTTTTGCACGACCGGCGGCGGCGGTGGCGGTGGCTTTTTCTGCAAACCTGGCGGCGGCGGCGGCGGAGGCTTCTTAACTGGCGGCGGCGGCGGCGGTGGAGGCTTCTTAACTGGCGGCGGCGGCGGCGGCGGCGGAGACTTCTTGACAACTGGCGGCGGCGGCGGCGGCGGCTTCATGACAACTGGCGGCGGCGGTGGTGGTGGCCACTTTTTCACGATAATTGGTGGCGGCGGCGGCGGTGGCTTCTTAAGCGGCGGCGGTGGCGGCGGCGGACACCTCCACTTCCAGAACCAGAAGCATGGCCAGGGAAACGGCCAGGGGAAGGGGACCAGTACGACAATGATGATGTGGATGACCACCTGCAGCAGCATGCGCGAACGTCCAGGGGTGTTGCAAGGCGGGCGCAGGAGATTGTTCATCATGCTGCGGGCCGCTCCTAGTCCCCTGGAGTAGAGCAGAGGATACCACATGCGGTGTTTTGAAAATGGGACGGAATGAAGAAACACGGGGGGCTTGGAAGGGGGAGGATGTCGAAACGGCGTAGAAAGTCGAGGAGCAGCCGATACTGCCATCCAGCATATGCGTGCGTGTGCGTATGCATATACATGTGCATGACCTGCAACCCTCCGCGCCCCGCCCTCCCCGCCGCCCACCTTCCTCCCCGCCCGGATATCCGTGACCACCGAGGTGCCCTTGCTGTCGCCCGAGGACACCACCACCAGCGACCCGTCGTCCTGCCTGTGGGGGGGGAAGGGGGGAGATACACGGAGTGGCAGTCAACAGCACAGTTTGCCGGTTTATCCAGTATTGGTTGTTAACTAGTCGGAGTGCAAAACAGCGGGGGGGCTGCAGCAGAGTCGTCCGGTTCCTGGCTCCTGCAGCTGATAAGGTCTTACGACCCGTGGGCGACACATGTTTTGTCTGATGTGTAACTATTTAGCTGGGTATAGGTTTAGGACTTGTGATGCAGCAGCAGCAGCAGCAGCAGCAGGCGGGGGAACCAAAGGTGTATGCATATTGTTGCTGTCGTACAGCACGGCACACACCGACGACACATATGTATTATACGTGCTAGACTGGATCTCGACAGGCCATTTCGGCGGCCAGCTATTGCACATCACTTCCCCTCCTCACCGTTGCACACCAATTGGGGCCTGGTCCGATGACAGGAGTGTCGGGTACTTCGCCATCTTGCCGAGGGGGAAGTCTGCGGCGGTCAGCGCCTCGCCCAGAGCATGGCCCAGCATTAAGCCTGCCAGGCTCTCAGCATCCGGTGGCGGCAGGCCCGAAGCATCTTGTTCAGCGAAGAACTTGTCCCATGCCTGCAATAGGATGTCCATGCCGTCAGGACAGGGGCAGCAAACACACGTGCATGTTAAGTTGCATCAGGTCCAAGGCCGCATTGACTTCATTCCATGCACATTCATTTGCTTTCCCGGGTTGGATTTTTGTTCAATTTATAAATTCGGGCGCCTACTGCATTGGGGTTGGAGTAGATTTGCTTGGCTCAGCTTGGCAGAGACGCTGGCGATGGGTAGTGCGCGAGGATGCAGCGCTGGTTGGTGGGCTGGTGCGGGCTGCGGTCAGATGCATGGCCGTATTTTAGATGCTAGGTAACTATAAGCATATAAATATATGTTTTACGCAGGAGTAAATAACAATGTTGGCAGTTGGCGACTTGGGGCTTCGGGCGCGATGCCTCGGCAACTCTACGCGGGCCGGCGCTCCCAACGCGATGCAACCTGATGTCTTCATTCATATATAAACGAAAATTTCATGTATCACTATAATTGATAACGGCCTGGACGAGGAAAGAAGTCATCCGGCCAGTTGAGTAAGTTTGCCGGCCCACCAAACGATCCACCTCCTCAATATTTTACTTATGCTGCAAATAAATTATTTCGGCCCACCTCATCAGTTGGCAGGAACAGCGTTCGGCCTGGACCCGAATCATCTGAGCAGCTGCTGCCGGGTTTGCACCCGAGCAGCCACTCGTGAAAGTCCTCTGGAGCCTGTTTTAGCAGCTTATAGGTTGTAGACAACTCCGGGCATGCGGCAAGGACATCCAGGACTGATGCCGCGCCGGTCTTAGCCAACTCCGCGCAGGGCGTCTGGGCAGTACTTACGGAAGCGCCTACGTGCGGGGTGAGGCAGGCGGCGTGGACGGCGGGCCGGTCGGATCGGGGGGGTTGTATGCAGATAAAAGGCTTCAAAAAATTTAACTACGTTAACATCTTATCCATGGACTCTCATGTCGAAGCCAGGCGGCATGGACGCGGTTACAGAGTCGAAGGTGTCGATATCGTTTGGGGTCACACAACACGCACATGGACGCGCACAGACAAGATTTCGAAGGAACGAAGTTGTTAATTCATATGTCAGGAATTGTGTAGTCAGTTGTGGCCTTGTGGTCTGGTGGCTAGAGGCTCGCGCGGCACAAGTCTGTCAGGCAAGCTGTCAGGCAGTGCCAGGCCAAGCCGCTCCTAAGGCAAATATGTCCGAAAGGCACTCACCCAGAACACATAGCAGGGCCAGCAGAAGAGGAATCCTGCTAGCCATTTCCGGTCGGTGGGTCAAGATGGCGCAAGTCACATTACTCGCAGCAGCAGCTTGCAACTGCGGCAGCTTATTATTCGTGGAGTAAAGCTTATGGCACTCGCTTATGAGTAACCGAGCTTCAAAAAAGATTCCACTACCTCAGGATAGAATACAGCTCCTCCCTTTTAAATACATTTAGATGTGCAGTGGCTGACGTTGCCGACGGTTGGTCGTACTTGACGATTTGCCAACGCTTCCGGCATGGAACGCGCCCTGCCTGTTTATAATTGCAAGCACATTATTCTCGTCTAATCATATGCAGGGGCACTCTTGCGCCGCCCGGCTGATGGCTTCGTCCGGATTGCCACGGACCAAGCAGCGACACGGTACGAGCAGCAGCGCACCTCTCCTCGTGTTCATGAGTCGGACAGGAGTCCGCGTTGCGAACGGCTCCCGCCCCTCATGCGATAGATATTTGCCCCACCACTGCTACAGTTCCGAGCAAGTTAGCTGAACTGTTTTAGGGAATTCACAATTGCAGGATTGCCGCTTGGTTTATCATCAGAGGCGCGTTCGATTTGCTCAAGGTGTTAGGCGAATAAATGAGAGAATGTGACCGTGTGCGCGTAACTACCAAGTAGCTTCTCAGTCGGTAGGCCTGCCGTTCTCTCAGCAGCTGCCGGGCGGGATATTCTACAGGTGGACCTTTATTTATTGCTCGGAATTTTCCGAAACCGCGTACTGTCTCCACATGTTCATTAGCGCTATCGGCCGTAATTTTAATACCAAAGGAGGTACAACTCCGTTTATGTTTCTTGTTTCAGTGCTTTTAAGAAAAAACGTTTGACGTCATGTGCAGTGCATGCACGTGGAATATGTATATGAGTACAAGCTATACGTGCTAGCCTCTGCTAGGTGCTGAAAGCCCAGCAGCCCGTCTCTCATCCGTTCATATGCGTTCACAATTAAGCGTCAGAATCCGATGACGTTACCGGGGTAGATAGAGCTCTGGTGTTGTGTTCGAAAGCTCGCCCTTCAGCGGAGGCTCCCAAATAAAACTCCGACAGATCGGGACCAGATGCAGAAAGCTCATTTCGATCATCGAACATCTTCCAGCTGCTGTGCAGCTTCCTTGACCAATGAGCGAGTTGGACGAACGAGGCTCCAGTTGGTTTGGGTCGGTTGCAGTGAAATCCCCCAACGCTTGCCTTTCAGGCAGTGAATGGGGAAAGCTTTCATAAATTGCTGCAGACTACACATCTGGGAAGTAGTGTATCGAACGAGTTTCATTCGCTTGTTTCGGCGCGAATGGCGGCCGTCGTGCAACAGTCGCCCGCGGAAGAATGCACCGTGCGTGGTTAACAGCGATTTCCATGCCGAGGACTAAATACTTAAATGACAATTAACAAGACAAGCTGAGGACTAAGGATTTAAATGCATTCCTTGTCATGTATTGCTGCGTGATGACCGGATTGCAACGTGGCGCTCCGGTTTTAGCGCGGTTTTCCAGGTTTTCGGAAAAGCTTGGAAGCTGGCCCTAGATGCGTTCTTTCCGTCAATTTTTTGGTTCGGTCAGGAAAAGACCCATTGAGCATGTCGCGTAGCAGGATTAAGTTAAGATACGTAAGGGAGCGCTCTGGGGATGCGGCAGGCTGTAAGTGGTCGCTGCTGTAGGTGCAAACGGTTGTTTGCCTGCTTTGGGACTTAAACTCCGGACCTGGACATACAAGCATCCTTGACAACCTGATGCACATTTAAGAATGACGTTTTCTGTGAAAATAGATTATGCATTGGGATGTCGCCATTCCCAGCTCGCCGACTAGCCGGCTTGCCGAATTGTTCACCCGGAACAAAAGGAAATGCAAGCTCCACTCGCCAAATAAAACAATATATGCACACGCATTCCGTCTTAGTCCAAAAGCACAGGACAAATTATCCCGCCGAAAGCGTCCTGGGCCCTGCCCCTGCTGCCACAGCTTCTGGGGCCGGCGCAACCGGGACGGCCGTCTTTAGACTCGTCCCGCGCGACTTACAGAAATTCAAGCATTGAAGTAAAACTTATCGCTAGGAAGCTCTGTCCTTAACCAAAGTGGCAAAAATGCTTCGGCACGGTTTGACAGCGGAGCTCAGGTACCTGGGCTCCACACACCGTGAGAGGAAGTAACATTTTCTGATTCTTTAAAAGTAGTCTTTAAATGTAAGGGACTGCGTTCGACCGAAAGCTGGAATTTCGGCAGCTTCCGAACAACCGGTCAACGCACATTGGTTAATCCCTTGGCAAATGGGTCCTCATAGTTGCCAATCTTTTTTATATTGCATAAGCCTTCTTCTGATTCACCTTCTGGTTCCCTTGTGTAAATCTCTCCCATCCAACGTAAGGTGACTTTATTTCCTGCCACTTTGGTACGAGAGATATGGACAGATTTTGAGTCAAAAAGCTTGATTTTGTCAATGATATATGATCTGGCAGGCCGGGAACCTAAATTTATTAGATTGGCCATTCCTCTCACCCGTACGGGACGGTTGATTGATGTCCGGCACAGTCCACATTCCTTGCAAACATACAGATTTCGTCTTTTCCTCATTATTTTGACATAGAGGGTTGTTACCTTGGCTAATCACTGTGTTGCATTGTATTGGAACGCCCGCTTGCTGCTTGCCGAAGGGCTTATGAGCTTACCTGCAAAATAGTTGACCTCTCCCGCGAAATCTTCCACAACTTACTGCTGACCTGAATGGCTTCTCCTTATTCGGACCTTGTTGACTGTTCCATGTCAAAGCAGCGCGTCACCCACATTAGTTGCCAATCACGCACATTAGTTGCCCATGCCACCACCCTCTCCAACACAACCCGTCGTCTCGCCTTCCCATTAAGATACCACAACTCAGCTGGTCGTTTCTGCATATCTCTGCGCTCACACCCAAACAAACACCATTCCCCGGCGCCGCACCCCGACGCCGGAGCTGCTCTAGAGCCTGTGCCTGCTGATCGCGACTGGGCGCCACTTCACGGCCGCACTGCAGTCATCGCGGGCGCTGGCCCGGCAGGCTGTACCTTAGCCATGCACCTGGCCAAGGCGGGTAGGTGCACCTCAGATGCTTCAACGCGAAGTGATGAACCGCGAAGTACACCCGCAGAGCTAGCTAGGCAGAGGGGGGGACTCGAGGATGCATCTCGCCTTTGCCTCGACCATTTTCATCCAGGAGAGGCCAGGGACCCGCTATCGCTCCCTGGCAGAGCTGTGTCCCTGACGCGGCGACTGACATCCCCCCTCCCCCCCTACCCCTCCCTTAGCACCAGCTTCACTCGCTCGTGGTTCGTCTTTTCCCCCTCCCCCCGCTCCTGTAAATGTGCCTGGCTGCTCCTTGTCCTCTTCCTTCCGCACCTTTCCTCTCTTTCTCTTCACACAAGCATGCACATACACACACACGCAATCTGGTGCCTCCCCAACCCACCGACAATTATGTCCTCCCCTTTGCACCCCTACTCCATTGCCCACCTCCATTCTCCCTTGCTGCTACTGCTGCTACTGCTACTACTGCTACTACTGCTGCTACTGCTGCTACCGCTACTGCTGCTACCGCTACTGCTGCTACTGCTACTGCTGCTACTACTACTACTGCTACTACCGCTTTGCGGCCGGTCCCAGGCTGGCGTGTGCGTGTGTTCGAGAAGCGTCCCGAGCCCGGACCCGCCACCACGTCCCGGCAGCGCAGCTGGGTGCTGGCCATGTGTGAGCGAGCTCTGCAGAACCCCACTTCCATTGGGCGCAGAGCCGAGGGGAGAGAGGGGAGGGGAGGAGAGGGGAGGGGAGGAGAGGGGAGGGGAGGTAACGGCAGTCTCAATACTGAAGGGATAATCTCGTAAACACGTGTGCATGTGCAACATGTGTGGAATAATTCTGAACTGGCTGCCTGCCGATTGGCATCGTTCGGATCCCCAACTACCGAGGTCCCCAGCACCACGCAGCTGGCCCCGCAGTAGCTCCGGAACCATGCGCCCCGAAGTTACCCAGTAACCGACACTCGGTGTTCGCCTTGTGTACTCGTCCGCCAGTAGTTTCCTCCCCCCCCCCCGGGCTGGTTGAGGAGGGGGAAGGGATTTTGGGGGTTTGGGATTTTGGGGGGGTGAAACAACTTGTTTCAGTCACACTTAATAACTTACTTCAAATAAGTTATTAAGTTTCAAACAAGCCAGGAAAGTAGTTCAGGGCTTCCTTTCCCGACCACCTTATGTACTGCACGTACACAATGCACTGTCGTGCACGCCGGCCCACACGAGCATGTGCGTTTTAAATGTATGTAACGCATGTATGTATGTATGTATATATGTATGTATATATGCACGGATCTTTCCGCGCGTACATGCGCTACATGTTATATAAATGTACTGCATGTTGGAAAGGATTCAACGTCTTACGTTCTCGGTGCGTGTGTGTGTGTGTGTTCCGTAGAGGGAAACCGGACATCGCAGTCCTCGAGCGAACCCGCTTTAGAGTCCTTTCTGTGTGTTTTCGCACGCACGCACGCACGCACGCATGTGCGTTTGCGTTCCTCAGATCCTCGGGGCATTCGGCCGGTAACAGCGGTGGCGGAGGTGCCCCTGCTTCGGGAGCGGGCTTACAAGGGCCTGGTGTTGGGCCTGGGGGAGGGGAAGGGGGGACACAGGAGCAGCAGCAGCAGCAGCAGCAGCACCAAGAAGCCCATCGTGTTGGAGCGAACAGGAGGTACGGCGGCCGGAGGAGGAAGAGGCAGGGCGGGTGGGAGGGCGGATGGGAGGTTTGGGTTAGAGGGGGAAAAGGAGAACATGGGAACCGACCCTGCCAGGCTCGGCCACGAAACTGACAAGCGGTGGCACGTGTTCGGTTCGCTTCCAACAACTGGGATCTGCCGTTCACGTACAGCGGTCCCGTACATCTATCATGACTTGTCTCACGCCGTACCCAGCCCATACCCAGCGGGCCATTCCCCGATACAAGGTTCCGTGTGGCCCCCTCCCCCCTCCCCCCTTCCCCCTCCCCATTCCTATCCCCCCTCAAACCATAAACATTCCCGGGCATGTTGTTCAGTGCTAATGGACCGGACATTGCTAGCTACCTCACTGCTCGATGCTGCGATGCGGCAGTACGGCAGCCGTGTGGAGTTTTCCTTCAGTACCCCCCTGGAGTCCGTGGATTTCACAGACCGAGTGGCCACCTTCCGAAGCATCAGTAGTAATAGAGCTTCCAGTAGCAGCAGTAGCAGTAGTAGCGGCAGCGGGGCGGAGCCACCAGCAGCACGCAAGTTGGTCGAGGCTACAGCCGGCCGTACAGCGGCAGCGCCGGCACCGGCGGCTCCAGGGAGGAGGAATCCAGCGGCATCTGGCATAGGCGGGGAGGAAAGCCACGGCAAGGGCGATGGCGGAGGGACAATTAAGGTGTCGTACGATTTGCTAGTGGGCGCCGACGGCAGTAGCAGTACGCTGCGGGTTCTACTGGCGGAGGGGTTCCCTGGACAGTACGACACAACGGTATGTGTGTGTGTGTCCCGGTGTCGGTATGATACCCCACGTGACGTTGCGGAAATCAATTTTCTTCCCTCCGCTCCAAAAATATTTCGTCAATCGTTTGTGCTTCATCGCACCCCTCCCCTCCACACACACACACACACACACACCGTGGAGGACCCGCTTAGGCAGCTACAGCTACAGCTACAGCTACAGCTACAGGTGCCCAGCTTTCTCCACCCTTCGGAAGTCCCACCACGGCTAACTCCCACAGGAGACCCCACCCATCCACACCTCCCCCACCTCACTCCCCCATCTCACTCCCCCACCTCACTCCCCCACCTCACTCCCCCACCTCACTCCCCCACCTCACTCCCCAGCTTGTTGCAACAACCCCTCCGGCCCCCCAACCCACCCCCCCTCAGATTGTAGGTCCCCCAGGTATAGCCGGGACCACCTGCTACAAGAGCGTGTACGGCTTGCCGCCCGTACAGCAGGCGGAGGCCTGGGCGCCGGATAGTGCCGTACCGGTTTCGGAGCGACTTAAGGGGGAGTTCTTTTTCGTGTTGTCTGGTGAAGGCCAGGTGAACCGTGGTTGTATGTGTGCATGTGTGTGCAATCGCGTGTGCACGACTCATGCGGGGATTCGCTTACTACTTCATAAAGCATAGCGGGTAACCTTTCAGTGTGTGGATGAAATGTGATGTGTGTATGGGAGAGTGTGTACATGTACGTACCTACATACGTACATACGTACATGCATACGTGCATGCACGCCGTGTGTGTCGCTGTGTGGTGTTGTGTGCAGGGAGAGGGGGGAAGGGGATGTAAGGCAAAAAAGGGTGGTAGGGTGGTAGGGGGTTAGGAAACGGAACGTAGTCATACGGAAAGCGAGGGGTTTTCCGTCTCCCAATAGCTAGCCGGCGTCTTAGTACTACCCTCCCCCTCCCCTCCCCTCCCCTCTTGGTCTCCCCCCCTTTC